CCCAGCCTCTGTGCACACACTCAAGGACATCCCAGCCTCTGTGTACAGACATGCTGTGCCATGTGTTCTGTCATTGCAACCCAGGCCTAGTGAATAAAAAACTACATCCTCTGGGTCTGAGAGTGAAGTAGCTCAAGGAGGCTTTTACGTGTCTCCAGCCCTAAGGCTCACATAATTAATGACTTAGGAAAAACATGGTTAAGGACCTGAGTGACAGCGTCCCTGCCCCTCTGGGGAATACCTGCTACCTTTACCTTCTGCTAGAGTCAGAGTTCCCGGGGAAAACGTTGACTATGTTGCAGAGTGTTAAGGACACTTTGCCACGCCAACTGTATGCACATGTACTCCACTCTGTTGACAGGCCCATGAAGCCTGTGGTCCCATGGAAATCGATTCTGCACTGAACACAGTGCAGGCTCTCAAGAATGAACTGCAGGATGCCAAGATGGCCGCTGCAGAAAGTCAACTGAAACCACTGCCAGGAGAAACAGTAAGCTGTGTGTGTGGGGTGTGTGTGTGTGTGTGTGTCTGTGTGTGTTTGGGGGAGGGGAGGGAGGGAGGGAGCACTACATGGATTCCAGGTATTAACTTCAGGTCTTCAGGCTTCCTGGAGAGCACCTTTACCTGCCAGCTGAGACATCCCTTGTTATTTAAAAAGAAAGTATTTGCCTATGGCAGGAGTGGGGGTTGCACATACTGTGTTATTGGCTATGGTAGACCAGACTCCGGTTTCATTTGTAGGAATGGCCTTCATTGGGAAAGTTGTTATATGACTTTTCTGCCTGTCACCATATACCAACAAATCTCTTCTAAGCAGTGTCCTTATATAATAATTAATTATCTGTACCCTGGGCCTTTTCCAGCTTTGTTTATTTGTTGGACACAGCAAGCAGGCATGCTCTTCATGAAAGGCACACCCTCTGCCTACCTCTGAGGTCTCATTGCCACTCCAAACCTTCATTTTTCTCGTGTGCCTTTCAGTTTAAACTCCTTGAAGGATAGTGACTAAACTGGCCTGGGTTAATGTCCCCACTTGTCATGAAGGTGGGACAGTTGGGTGTCTCCTGCCTCCTGCCAAGGCATGATTGCTGCCCACTACTGATTTCTTTTGGACTTTCTGAAGGCATCATGCTCTCAGCTGCAGTCTGTTAAGGAGCTGCATTAGCTTGCTGAAGGCCTTCCTAGCCGGGCACTTTCAGGAGTTGGGTTTGGTGAGGCTCAGGAATGCTCCTGGCTCCACACAGCTGGCGGGCCTGCACCCACCTCACTCAGTCAGAGCCAGACCCCTTGTCCTGCACTGCCCAGCCCACTTGGGTGAGAAAGAGCTCGGGGTCCCGTTCTGATGTGTATCATTATTCTAAGTCATGCCCTAAGACCTCGGAGAATGTTCCTTTTCTAAGTTCTGCCTTCCTGGATTTTTTTCTCACAGCTAGAAAAGTGTGCCCAGGACCTGGGAAGCACCTCTAAGGGCGTGGGCTCCTCCATGGCGCAGCTCCTCACCTGCGCGGCTCAAGGCAATGAGCACTACACAGGTAGGACTTCCGGCCTTTACGGTGCCTGTGGCTGGGCTGCACACCCCCGGTCTGGAGAGGAATGCTCACTGATCTGACAAGGAACTCGCCTTTCTTCCCCTAGCTCCACAGAACGTCCTCAAGCACTCGCCGCAGTGCTGTTACTAAACTCTTCCCAAGCACGTTTGATACTTTTCTCACGGCAGTGACGAATTACCTGACATGTGTGGAGTTCAGCAGAGAAGGGTTTGGTTTTGACTCATAGTTTAAGGCAGTTTGATGGCGGGAAGTGATGTTGATGGAACATAAGGCTGCTGGACCACTTACTTCCTTATTGATTGAGTCTGGAACCACAGCCTATTGATGACCAACTATTGAACATCATCACTGACATCACGTCACTGATGGCCGATTTTCTAACCTCCCTTAACCTAACTCAAAACTCCCTCCCACACAAGCCTAAAGTTCTGCCTCTTTAGCTTACCTGTCCAGATCCTGTCAGCCTGACAGATATTAACCATATTAAGCATGTGATACTGTAAAATGACTCTCAAACTATGTGTAGACCCCTTATTAGACTACAAGGGGGCGATAATTGTACACTCTAGGACTATCCCTGACTCCAGAAATCTCACCAAAGTGTAAACATGTAAAAGCTAGAGAGTGGAGTGACAATAAAATCAGCCAGCAGGCGGGGGAGGGGAGGGTGGAGCCAATGAGCCCATCCACTCTCAGCTGGATGAGAACTCAGGGTGTCCAAGATGGAAGTAAGGAGGGCAGCAAGGGAGGAGGCCGCAGAGCTGTGTGTCCTCGGGGCACTGAGGAGACCTGAGTATTTTCAATGTCAAATGTCTATTTCTGAAAGGCAAGAGAGTTCTTAATTAGGAATCTGTATAAGAGGCTGTGTAACTAATGAAAGGGAAAACAGAGGCTGCTAGCTGGGGTGGGGCCGGGCTGTGGCCTTCAGTGTGTAGATGAGGCTGCGGTGAGGCTCAGAACACTCTCCCTAGCCTGATGTACTGGAGGAGGCTTGGCTCTGGGGTGCTTTCTCTCCCTCTCCCTCTCCCCCCCCTTCTCCCTCTCTTTCCCCTCCCTCTCGGTCTCTCTCCCTCTCTCCCCCCTCCCTCTCTGTCCCTCTCCCTCTTCTCCCCTCTCCCTCTCTCTCTCCCTGCCTCCTCTTTCTCTCTTCCCCTCCCTTCCCCCTTCTCTTTCTCTTGCAGCTGTTATAAATTAAGGACCACCTTAAGGGAAGAAACTGCCCTGAGCCTTGGGCTCCTTTCTTTCCCTCTCTCTGCTTTTCATTCTTCCCAGCTCTTGGTCCTTCTACCTTGATGCCTTCCTGTTGGCCAGCTGACTTCAACCATATGTTTTCCAGTTATTTCTCTGTGCGAGGGTGGGTTTGCATGAGTTAATCTTTCATTCCTCAAAAACGCACGTTCCTATTACTTGAAAACTAGAACAAAACAGACAATCGAAGTAAGTATAACATAGTAATAAGAATATGTAATCTTGTCCTAATCAGAGAATAAGGGAAAGTTTTCAGAGGAGACCAGGGTGTTGAAGACCACTTAGGACATTTTGAAGAGCTCTGGGAGAAAGGGAAATGTGGGTATGAATTCTTACAAACCAGAAGGAGAAGTTTACGTCTCAGAAACTCCTACATGATCCCAGAAGTTTGGCAGATTTGTGCATGGTGAAATATGTGCTTCGAGGAGGGATGCTGGGCTGCCTAGAGCCCGAAGAGTTACATCATCTGGTACTGCCAACATGCGGGATGGCAGGCAGCCTCCTTGGCACTTGAAAAACAGCCTAGCTAGCAAGCCGTCCAGTTCTGGAAGGCATTTATTTAGAAGGTGGTGTTGAAATGGGTGCTGTGTGGCAGGGGGTCTCAGAAGTAAGAGAGAAGGCTAAGTCAAGGAACTGAGAAGGTTCTAGTAGAAGGCAAGGAGAGGAGGCACAGCTGGAAAGCTGAGCCAAGGCACAGATGCAAGGGGCCTTGTAGGCAACATGAGCAGCTTGGAGTTTTCACCAAAGCCATATGAAACTATTGGAAGGTTTTCAATGTGGAGACCAATCACAGTGTCCTGTGTGTAACCCTTCCTCCTCTGTGTGGAATAGAGGGAAAGAAACAACTGAGAGCAGGGAGACCTGCACCCAGGGGCTAATTCCTCCAGATGAGAGGTGGTAATCAACTGTGATGATTAGTCAGCTTTATGTCGCTATAACAAAATACCCAAGGTAATTAACTTCTATGGAGAAAGGGTTCGTATGGCTCACGGTAGCTCTAGTCCTCGATTATTTGAGTGTATGGTGGTATAGCATCTGATGTCCGGAGCATATACTAAAATTAAACTATGTACCTCACGGTCAGGAAACAAAAGAGAATGAGAAGGAAGACAGGGAGGGAGTATCCCATAACTGCCCTCAAGAGTGTTTGCCCAGGGTCCTGAAGCCCTCCATTAGGCACTGTGACTTAATGCTAATTGGATAGCCTTGGGGACCAAGTCTTTAACACATAGACCTTTGGTGGACACTCAGGATTTAGAGCATAGGATAAGGTATACAAGGAGGTAGATTAAAGAAGCAAGCCTGACCCTGCTTGGTGATTGGTTAGGATGTTGCCAGGGATGGAGATAAGGAAGAAAACATGGAGAATTCTTAGAGCTGACAGCTGAATGAAGAGTTCTGTGAGTTGCTAGGGTGAGATCACAAGATTGGTTCTAACCGCAGATGGACCGGTGGATGTCCCCATAGAGATGTGATGTGATCGGCAGCTTGCTCTCCAGCTCTCGGGAGAGGATGCTGGGACGGAAGTACAGGTTTTGTAGTTAGTACCTGGGTCATGGTAATTGATTGAAACCTTAACTGCGGGACAGTGTGCCTGGAGTGAGAGGCTGAGTGAGAAGAGTTCACTAGTAAAAGACGAAGCTGAGGGATAGAAATGGGGGCCACACCCGGAGGTAGAGAACAGAAGCCAAGGGATGTTTCCAAGTATGTTTCTGGAAACTGAGAGTTGCTGCCCAGAGGGTCATATAGGGCAGTGAAGATGCCTCCATTGGTATCAAGTAAGGAGAGCCTTACTCCCTTGGTTAGATAGAGGTGATTTCAGCACAGTTGAAAGGGAAGCAAGGAAAAAGAAAATAGGGGTAGGCAAAATCTCTGAGTCGAGGCTCCCTCTCCCCATACTTGAGGCCTGTGTTCAGGGACTACACGTTAACTCCCAGTAGGCTATACCTGAGTGCAAGTGGGTTTTTGTTTGGCAAGCGAAATAGTCTGAGTACATTTCTAAACCATTTTACACAGCTACGTACAATTTTTTACAAGTACTTCAAAACAAATTAACGATTTACATCATTCCTAAATTCGTCTTGGAGCCTTGGTATTGTGGTCTAGCAATGGCTTAACACACGTTCCGTGTGAATTCTGAAAGTAACAAACATTCTGAGAGCTGGGTGTGGTAGCACAAGCCTGGAGACAGGAGGATCAGCTCAAGACTAGCTCATGGACCCATCTCTTGAAAACAACAATTATGAAGTATGCTTATAGGTTTGCTATCTCTTTTTGTCCTGAAATTCTGCTCTGGAGTATAACTGAAGATTCAGATATGAAAGCAATCTGTGCTCTCCAAGGATTACAGTTATTAGAACAGATGTGTGCTTTACAGTTTGCCCCTGGTGGGTTACAAATCTTAACGTACACTTGACCATAAAAGCAATATCATGGGGGTAGTGAAGGGGAAGAAAGGACATTGCTGATTTTGGTCACATGGCCCTATGGTGATTCCCATTGAAAACATGGCTGTAAATGTAGTCATCCTGGTGGCTTTGTTTCATCCTTTCAATGATACAACTTTTTTTTGTCTGGACCTGGTTCCTCCAAACAGGATCCTCACCAGAAAATCCATGGGCAGAACAGGTTTAGAGCTTTAGAGCTTGGCTTTCTATTTTCTGCCTTTCAGAAATCATCTTCAGGGCCAATAGGTAGGATGGTTCAGCAAGTAAAGATGCCTGCTGCCAAGCCTGGTAACCTGAGTTCAATTCCTGGAACCTACCTGGAGGAAGAAGAAAACTGACTCCCACAAGTTTCTCTCCACAGGCATGTCAGGATGACACGCCTACCCACACACACAATACACACACCTATACCTACACCTATACGCTCACACAAAATAAGTAAATGTAATTTCAAGAATTATATCATCTTAATCTATAAAGCGTTTCCCATTTAGTAGCTTTACGTAAACAAATATTTTCTCATTGCATATTATGCATGTTTAATTGTTTTAATTCTTACAGAATTTGAATAGAAGTAGATTTACTAGTCCAGATAATAAATGAGAAGGCAATAGGTGATGTCTGAAAAACCACAGCCTAGTAGAACCTTCAGTAGTCAGTCGTAGATTCTCAGCTACTCCTGAGGCTTGTGGGAGGCTGTGGCCGGTGAGAGAGACAGCTGTCTAGACACACAGACACTTGGCAGGGAAGACAGCGGGATGAGGACCTCACCACATCTGGAGTTCTTCTGAGCGATGACATCCTTTCAACCTGGAGCCAAAAGCTGAAACATAAAATCTTTCTCCTCTAGGCCTTGATTTAGCTTTATTTACTTTTGTGTTTTCTCTTCTGGGCTTCTGTAATGGCTGCACATACACACACACACATACACACACACACACACATTGCACACAGACACACACCATCACATACACGTAAACATATACCCATCTCACATCATCACACACAAACATGACATCACACACATATCAAACACCACACTCATAACTCATATACATCAAACACACATATCACACACAAACACACATACATCTCACATACACAGTTCACATCACATGTATCACACACACACCACCACCACAAAGAAATGCTGACTATAGCGTCCATCAGGCTGCCTGACAGTCAGTAGATTGGCCGTCTTGTGTTCTGCCTGGTTAGACTGCAGCACTTCATCCCAGCTGTGACATGCAGACTATTCATAGAGTGTGAATCTGTGGCTGCAAGGGTGGCTGTTTTGGGGGGATCTGGGGCTTTTCTTACTATGTAGCTTCATGGTTACTACAGGGAAGACTGCTGGCTATGTTTGTGATGACTCCGTAGAAAGCTGTATTCCAATCTGAAAGTAGTCATTTCTGTGCACAGCATCTCTGCTCCAACAAAAGGCCCTCACACTTCACCGTCCCCAAGAGTATGTGGCAAGAAGCTAGGCACCTCTGGTCCAGTTCCATTACCATCTAGGAAGTATCTTGTGGTTGAGACACTGTTGTTGCTAGGCCTTATGGGAAACCATTTCTTGAGAGAAGCTCCAGGGAAGATCAGGTTCCTTGGTTTCTAGGAGAAAGTTCCTCCAGTCTTATGGAGACTAGAGGTCTCAGATTGTGTTTATTCTGATGAGGTGATGCTGAACCATCAGAGGACTGGTCATCTACATCAAAATGGATTTAAAGATGTTTCACAAGAAAATATCCAGCAGCCATTAAATATCGAGTTAGTTTTAACTGTCGATTTGACACAGCCTAAAATCTGGAATGGGAATTGTTAGAGGAAATTAAGACTGATTTTTTTTTAATGTATATATGTACCACATACATGCCCGGTGCTCTCAGAGGTCAGAAGAGGGTACCAGATCCCCTGGAACTGGGTTGTCAACAACTATGAGCCATCATGTGGGTACTGGGAGCCAAATTCAGGTCCTCTCCAAGAGCAACAGGTGTTCTTAACTACTGAACCACCTCTGTAGCCCCATGGGAAGAGATCTTAGTGGGGAGTTCTGTAGTCCAGGTTGGCCCATGAGTGTGACTGGGGTAGGGAGGTCCTGATGACTGGTATCCATTAGCAAGTTCTAGGCCATATCACTCCCAGAATCCAGGGGTTCTGAACAGTGTAAGGGAAAGGAAAATACAAGTGCGAAGCAGCATTGCCTGGATTCTGCCTCTGCTCTCAACTGTACATGTGATGGGCTGTGTTCCTACAACCCAGAATTATATGCCAAGTAACCCCCCCTTTTCCTACTTACCTCTTGTCAAGCTATTGTCATAGCAACAACAACTTGGATGATTGCTCCTGAAGGGTACAGCTACAGACCCACTGAAACTCAAACTCCAACAGTACCCCGCTAGTTAAGATACAGAAGACTGCATTTCCTCCAATTGCCCCGTGGGGAGTGTGGTAGTAAAGCCATTCTAGAACCTGTGGTGTACTGTTTTCTAGAGCTATATTAGCCTCGGTGACTCAGCGATTCAAATCCTAGGTTTCATTCAAGATTACGTGATTCCATGTGTTCATCTGAGTATGTGCACAAGACTTTTCTTTTCTGGGGAGTTTTATCCCAAACACAAAACAACTTACCTGTCCACCAGCAGAGGAACAGATAAGCAAATGTTAGGACATTGATGTAAAATCATACAGGAGGAAAAAGAGTTACACATAACAGCACTGCTTTACAGTCAGGGAAAGAAGACAGATGCAAATGAATGCATGTTGCATGGTTCTCTTAAGCCAGTCTAAGGTCATCTATGAGATAAATTACTTCCGGTGTAAGGAGCACTGTAGGGAAGGACACTGTAATGGTGGATATATCTATCCATGCAATTCACTGAACTGCTCACTCTTTGTGTGTCTTTGTGTGTGCAGTGTGTGCCCCGGGAAAGCCAAGTGTGTTAAAATAACTTCCCACAACCTGGGTACCAGGTGTAGGTCTCCATCTGTACACCTATTCCTGTGTCTGTGTTTAGATCTAGGGACACATGAGGAAGTAGAAACAAGGGAAGTTGGAGCATGGGGCATTTTGTATACTGTGGTGTCTCTTGATTAGCTTGGACACAAGGGTATGAGCTACTTTATTGAGAAACATGGCAATTCACATTTGTCAAAAATTAATCTGGACCCCCCAATATTATTGCCAAGGAAAAACGTAACTTTTGATGAAATCCAATAGAAATTCTAACAGGCTTTTCTCCCCAGGTGTGGCAGCTAGAGAAACAGCCCAAGCTCTGAAAACACTGGCCCAGGCTGCCCGGGGAGTGGCTGCCTCTACAAATGATCCTGAGGCTGCTCATGCCATGTTAGACTCTGCTCGGGATGTGATGGAGGGTTCTGCCATGCTCATCCAAGAAGCCAAGCAGGCCTTGATTGCACCTGGAGATACAGAAAGTCAGCAGAGATTAGCCCAGGTGAGCCTGGGAGCTGGGAACCATGGTGACTGGGAACCATGGTCACTGAGGTTGTGTACAGGTCAACTACCTGCTTTGTGGACATGTTTTCCTGGCAGGAATGCTTAGGACTCAGAAGGTGTTTTCAGATCCATCTAAAGTGTGTGTGGTAACAAGACTGACCATACTTGGTACTCAATGTTTTGTCTTCCCTAGAATTTCCCACATTGATGTGACATCTACTTAATTCACAGTCAACAAATGACGTGGGGGCTTTGAACTCTGACTGCCTCGGGATTTTAGATATAGCATGCTTGCTCAGGATTTGTGTCTACTTCAGTAAACTCCTCTTCCTAGTCTGCATAGTGAGGAAGATATAATCCAGGTCCAGTTATCCAAAAGTTCTGAAAAGACTCCCCTAACTTCTCCAGATGATTCTGGAGAACCCGATGGAACCAACTGGCTCAGGACAATCTGGACAGAGTTCTTGACATGGGACTAGGAAGATGTTTTAGATTTTTAGATTAAATAGGATGTTCCTGCCAACCCCTTCCCCCCCCAACCCCCCCAGCTTCCCTTTTAACTGAGATGACCAGGGCATGCAAGCAGGAGCTGTCAGTATTCCTGAAGACATCTGAGGACAAGGTAGCATTGAGGACAGCTTCAGATCAGGAGGTACTGGAGCACCCTCTTTGCATGTTGTGAACGTGGGGTCTTGAGGTGTGTCAACACCAGAAGGTCACTGAGAAGAATCAATTACAATTTAGCCCTGCTCCAAAGTCAACCTTGGAGACCTCAGCAGAGCCCTGCAGAAGATACCTACCATGTAGGGCCTGGCCTCATATTGGAGAATTCTGTGTTTGGGTTCCAGAGCCATGGCTTCTCCTGGCCCTGGGGAGCAGATGTCATACACAGCATGTAGTAATAGTAACCCAGCACCAGGTAGCAGAGACCAGAGGTCTGGCCAAGGTGATTTGATTTAGTTAACAGGGTTGAGTGGATGCCAGTGAATAATTCCCACATTGGTGTCAGCTCTGCATATTCTCTCTGCTCTTTCCCAATGAATATGCAAATGCATTTGCACCAGAAGTAGCCTTCTTAAGGTGTTTCCCTCCATCTGTGTGTGTGTATGCAGGTGGCCAAAGCTGTGTCTCACTCACTGAATAACTGCGTCAATTGCCTCCCTGGGCAGAAGGATGTGGATGTCGCCTTGAAGAGCATCGGAGAGTCCAGCAAGAAGCTACTTGTAGATTCGGTGAGGCCCTTGTCTGTGAGGGGGTTACCTGATGTCTTTCCCTCCACAAGGAGCAAGTATGACTTTCCTTCCTTGCAATCTCTGGTCATCTAGCCTTTCCCTTAGGAGTCTTGGTTTTCTACCATTTTCTGTTTCCTTTCTGGCTAGCAAAGTTTGTGAGTGAGGACTTGTGGGGAGGAGTTTATGCTGGTGTGAGGGCATATTTATGTGCAGGTCCATGCATGCACATGTGTGCACACATACCTCTGGAGGCCAGAGGGCAGTTTCAAATGTCAGTCCTTGGGTACTTTCCACGTTTCCTTTGAGGCAGGATCTCTCTTTGGGCGTAAGTTCGTCAGGTAGGCGAGGCTGGTAGCTTGGTGAGCTTCTCACCTTCCCATCACCAGGGTTACATGTGCATACCACCACACCCAGGTTTTACATGGGTTTTGGGGAAATTGAACTCCAGTCTTCATGCTTGTAAGGCAATTTCTTTATCAACTGAACTGTCTGTCTCCCTGGCCCCCGGGGTAGAGCTTTGAACATTGACTTTTTCTGAGTACCCGTTTGCTCTTGAGTGGGACAGAAAAGAGGCTTTGATCATCCAGCTCCTTCTTAGGGCATGACAGATGGTGACAGGCAGTTCAAGGACAGAGGGACATGTGTTCAAGACTAATTAAGAAAGTCAGGATCTTAAAGGTTTTTGCCTTGGAGCCCTTTCCTAGCCCACACTGAAGGAAGCTTAGCACTCATTTGTCTGCTGCTTCTGGTTACAAATGTCCAGCAGTATATGCGGGTCCTTAGTAATATCTGCAGTTTTGATGACTGTAATTCTATACTGAATGTGTGGGGTTTTTTTTATTATTATTTTCAAGGACCACTAATAAAAAAATTGATGGCCATTTGTTAAGAAGAATGTGATTTGAATTTGGCCATCAAAGACCTCTTAGTTCTTTTTTTTCTTATTGGATATTTTATTTACATTTCAGATGTTATCCCCTTTCCCCATTTCCTCCCCACCCAGGAACCCCCTATCCTATCCCCCCTCCTCCTGCTTCTATGAGGATGTGCCCCCACCCACCCACTCTCACCTCTCTGCCCTCGAATTCTCCCACATTGGGGCATCCAGCCTTCACAGGACCAAGGACCTCCTTTTCCACCTATGCCCAACAAGGCCATCCTCCCCTACATATACAGCTGGAGCCATGGGTCCCTCCCTATGTGCTCCCAGGCTGGTGGTTTAGACCCTGGGAGCTCTGGTTGCTTGCTATTGTTGCTCTCCCCATGGGGCCTCAAACCCTTTCAGCTCCTTCAGTCTTCACTCTAACTCCTCCATTGGGAACCTCATGATCAGTTCAATGGTTAGCTGTGAGCATCCGCCTCTGTATATGACAGGCTCTGGTAGACCTCTAAGGAGACATCTATATCAGGCTCTTATCAGCATGCACTTCCTGACATCCACATCAGTGTCTGCCTTTGGTGACTGCACAAGGGATGGACACCAAGGTGGAGCTGTCTCTGGAGGGCACCTCCTTCAGTTTCTGTCCCACACTCTGTCTTCATATTTGCTCTCATGAATATTTTGTTACTCCTTCTAAGAAGGACCGAAGCACCCACACATTGGTCTTTCTTCTTCATGAGATTAATTTGGGTTGTGAGTTGTATCTTGGGTATTCTGAGCTTTTGGGCTAATAGCCAATTATCAGTGAGTGCATACCATGTGTGTTCTTTTGTGACTGGGTTACCTCACTCAGGATGATATTTCCTAGTTCCATCCATTTGCCTAAGAATTTCGTGAATTCATTGTTTTTAATAGCTGTGTAGTACTCCATTGTGTAAATGTACCACATTTTCTGTATCCATTCCTCTGTTGAAGGACATCTGGGTTGTTTCCAGCTTCTGACTATTATAAATAAGGCTGTTATGAACATAGTGGAACATGTGTCCTTGTTATATGTTGGAGCATCTTCTGGGTGTATGCCCAGGAGTGGTATAGCTGGGTCCTCAGGTAATGGTATGTCCAATTTTCTGGGGAATCACCAGACTGATTTCCAGAGTGGTTGTACCAGCTTGCAATCCCACCAACAATAGTGGAATGTTCCTCTTTCTCCACATCCTTGCCAGCATCTGCTGTCACCTGAGTTTTTGATTTTAGCCATTCTGACTGGTATGAGGTGGAATCTCAGGGTTGTTTTGATTTGCATTTCCCTGATGACTAAGGATATTGAACATTTCTCTAGGTGATTCTTGGTCATTCGAGTTTCCTCAGTTGAGAATTCTTTGTTTAGCTCTATACCCCATTTTTTAAATAAAGTTATTTGGTTGTCTGGAGTCTAACTTCTTGAGTTCTTTGTATATATTGGATATTAGCCCTCTATCAGATGGAGAATTGGTAAAAATCTTTTCCCAATCTGTTGATTGCCATTTTGTCCTATTGACAGTGTCCTTTGCCTTACAGAAGTTTTGCAATTTTATGAGGTCCCATTTATCAATTCTTGATCTTAGAGCATAAGCCATTGGTGTTCTAAAAAACTTAAACCGAGAGTTTCCATCACGAGAGACACAAAATAGGGTAGAGTCTGGATCCCAGAGCTGAGTTGCTTGGGCATGAATCCTAGCCCTGTCATCTCAGTGAGTGTCAGTGACTTGAGAATAGCTGCTCTCACCACAGGGAGCTCTCTGGTGCTCGAAAAGTGGGCTTTCTGTAAGTGTGAGGGGATGGATGGATGGATGGAAGGATGGATGGATGGATGGATGGATGGATGGATGGAGATGGATGGATAGATGGAAATGGATGAAAGGTCCAACTTAACAGGGGCTCATACTATGCAGAGCTATTTGTATGAACTGATGACGTGACTGCTCCAAGGTATGGTTGAGGGAAAGGCTTTTATTGTAGATGTGAGGGAAATTACAAACAGGCATCTGAAGAGTCCAGAGATGGAAGAGAAAGTCGTACATGAACATGGCCAGCAGATTCAACCTGGCCATGAGAGGAAGGAGGTGGGGAGGGAGAAATGAAGATGAAAAGAGTGAGGGCAAAGGATGCCGAGAGGGAGGGATGGAGAGAGGGGGCAGGAGACTTGTTGAGCACATGGCTGAAGTGGCAGGGTTATATGGGTATGGGGAGGGTGGGGTCGAAAGCTGGGAAAGTTTAGAGTAAGGGGTGGGGTAAAAAGCGCTAGGAAGAGCCACAGGTTCTTGTTATTCTGAGAGCCTAGAGGCCAGCATGGCTTTGGTATGTAATAGGCACCACAGATAGCATTTGTTTCTCTTGGACCTGCCATCTTCTAGTTGAGTGACTCAGAAGCACAGCCTGGGCAGTCACTGTTCCTTCCACAATACCCTCCTTTGCCCACCTTGCGCAAGTAAAAACTTCCCACGGCATGTGCCTTTTGTCCTCCTAGCTACCTCCGAGCACAAAGCCTTTCCAGGAAGCCCAGAGTGAGCTGAACCAGGCTGCTGCTGATCTGAACCAGTCCGCTGGGGAAGTTGTCCATGCCACAAGGGGCCAGAGTGGAGAACTGGCAGCCGCTTCTGGCAAGTTCAGCGATGACTTTGACGAGTTCCTGGATGCCGGTATTGAGATGGCTGGCCAGGCGCAGGTAGGCGGGAAGGTAGTTTTGCTGTTCACGTGAGCCTCCTCGTTCTGGTTCAGCATCCAGCTGAGGGCAGCTGGGTGAATGGGGAACAGGATCCTGTAAACAAGCTGCAGCACCTTCCTTGAGTGCCTTGGAAATTCTGTGACCTCACAGGCTTGGCATGCTCAGCCATGATGGTGACTTTTTCCCACGGCCCGCTTCCAAAGCCTGTATCCTTTAGCAGGGTTGGGGGGAGGTCGGGAGCAGGGAGAATTTTTATCAGAAATGAGGTGGGATAATGCACAGACACGAACACACACATGCATGTGTATTTGTGGTTTAGTGAACTCAACTTAAATGAATTACATCTGGGACTTTCAAATGATTAAAAATGACCTCATTCAGATAGAGATGAGCTACTTGTTTATAGCTAGGGAACATGACTGGTCTGGCATCAGATTGCAGGACTGGTTTTTTTGGTAGTTTTGTGGGGGGGGGTTGTTTATTTGGTTTTCGGTTTTTTGGGGTTTTGGGTTTTTGGGGTTTTTTTGTTACATTTTCTATAAAAGGTCATTTGTCAGTTAGCAAGCTGAGTGAGAAGTATATCCTTCCCCAGTGCAATACTTTCTGGGATGCTGTCAGCTCTGAATGTCTACACAGAGCCTGTCTTTTGTGCCAGGCTGGGACGTACAAGATGCTTGACAACTCCAGCATTGTTGAGCAAGATGCTCGAATCACTGTCAGTCTGTGTACTGGTGCCGCTCTGTCGTTCTCCTCCTCCCAGCCCCTAAACGCTCCCAGATAACAACAAAGCAGGACTCCTGGCTGCCCCGCTTGGACATGCATTTCTTTCTCTGCCTCATGCATCTCTGAGCATCTGTTTGAGGACGAGTGGACACTAGTCACACATCTGCCGACTGACTGTCCTGATGTAGTCTTTGCTTCCACCTGGGGAGTTGCTCCTAGCTCCCTGAAGTCTTCTTGGAAAATTATAGTCAGTCCCAACTGACTCTGTTTCCTTTTGCCTCTGCAGACGAAAGAAGACCAGATGCAGGTGATAGGCAACCTGAAGAATATCTCCATGGCATCCAGCAAGCTACTGTTAGCAGCCAAGTCTCTCTCTGTAGATCCTGGAGCTCCCAACGCAAAAAATCTTCTGGCTGCAGCTGCCAGGTAAGAGCAGGACAAACTGTGCCTTGTGGATGTGTAAAGGGTTCTGTCCTGTTTGAAGGGTGTGACCAGCATCCTACCAGTTTCTCAACTGAGGAAAGACTTGCTGCCGGCCTTGTTGTCAGAGGTAAAGTAAATTGGTGAGAATTCTGGCATTTTGTAAATTAACTCACTCCTGTGTCTTTGGCCCAGTAAGAATGTTCCATCTTCCAGATGAACTCTTCAGGTTTTACGTAGGCTGTACTGATTTGTAACCATGTTTAAGCATGTTTTTTCCGTTTTCATTTTTGTGTATAATATGGTGTGTGTGTGTGTGTGTGTGTGTGTGTGTGTGTGTGCGTGTGTGCATTCACATATATGAAGGTCTGAAGTTGATGTTAGGAATCGTCCTTGAACATGTTCTATCGATCTTCCATTTTATTTATTGAGGCAGGGTCTCTTAGTCAAACCCAGAGTTCGCCAACAGAACTAGCCAGCTTGCTCTGAGGAGCCCTCGTCTCCGTCTGTCAAGGCTAAAGTTACAGTTGGGCTGCCATAGTCACTTGGCACTTTACGTTGGTTCTAGGAATCTGAATACTAGTCCTTATGCTTACTCAGCAAGCTTTTGAACCACTGAACCATTTCTCCAGCCCCTAAACAGCTTGTTTAAAGCAGTATTACGTTGTTCAGATTTTGCAAGAAGTACATGCTCACTAAAATAGACATTGGGAACTATTTACAAGCGGTACTCAAGCCATTTTGTAGACACTGGGCACACACTGTACGTTGACATCCATGTTGGACTAGATTTTGTATAATTGTCCATCACTTGCAGGGGGTACTCTAGGGCCAATGGGGTGACAATGGTGCACAATGGTTTTGAACTTAAAACAGGAAGCCAGGTTTGGAGTGATTTTTCCACAGTTCCCTGCAGTTGCACTCTCTTCAGAGATCTAATATGGTTTCTGGTCCATAGCCACCACTGTGACACATGAGCCAGTAGGTGTAGGATTGACGGTTGGTTTGTGGGACACTGGGCTGTAGTGATGGCTCAGGGCCATCCCAGACAAGCACCCTCTCGTCCATTTTCCCACACTTCAGGCAAAAGCTAAGTTGTGATTCTGTGGTATTGCATACATCCTCGGCGTTGTTTCCTGTCATAGTGCTGTCACAACACTGCTGGGGGCAGCGGGACATTAACTGAGAGGTGACTGGGGGAACAGAATAAGGGGAAACCTTTCAGAATGTGCACACTGGTGATAAGCTTCAGGGCTGCATGCATTTTTATCCATTTTGATTTGCTACTGATCTATTTATTTTGAGACAGGATCTCTCTGTGGAGCCGTGGATGGGCAGGAACTCCCTATGTAGACTACTGGCCTAGAACTCCCAGAGAGATGTACTTGCCCCTGCCTCCCTCCTCTTAGGATCAAAGGCATGCACTTGGCTTGTGCTTGATGTTTCATCTATTTTGTTGTTGTTTGTTTGTTGTTCCTGTCTTTTACCTGTCGAAGTTCAAAAATCTGAATTCTAACTGAAGGCACTTTAATAGTTTCCTTGCTTGATCAGATGTTCAGATGGCTCAACCTGCCCAAGCTTTGCTGAATGAAGTGGGGCCCGAGAGGCAGCTGCCTTCGACAGTTCTTAGCCTCCCTGGTACTAGAATGTTAGTATTCTGTCTCTCCTCCTTTCTTGACTTTAGTAGATTTTTAAAATCTGTGTTTTCCTTTTTCGTGGAGACTTAGACAATTCTCCTTCGTGTCCTTGGTTGGATCATTTGGCTTCTGCGTTAGCTGTCATCTTTTTGCTGTGACAGTATATCCAACAAGAGCAACCTAAGGAAACAAGAATTTCTTTTGGCTCGCAGCTTGAGGGTACAGTCCGTCATCAAAGGATAGTCATGGCGGCAGGACTGTGAAGCAGCTGGTCACATTGCCTCTGTTATCCCAAAGTCGATCAATGAATGCTGGTGCCCAGAAGCCCATCCTATGACTGGTGTTGCCCACAGCTAGGATGGACCTTCTCTCCTCTGCTAAATCAATCCAGAAACTCCCTCACAGACACTCGTAGTTCTCAGTCTCCTGGGTGAATCTGAGACCCTGTCCAGGTGACAGTCAATATGAACCATTAGAGCAGCAGGTACATTTGGCCACAAATGGTAGCCAAAGCCACAGGCGACTGTAAAATTATCCTCTCATCTGCCTACTCCAGCCTGTGTTTCACTTGTGATTGCTCTGGTAGACAAATGCCCTCCTTGACGATGGGGATGAGGACAGAGTGGGTGTCTGTCCTATTTGGTCCCCATTCCTTGAAACGATGCTTTTTTTCTTACCTTTTTTTTTTTCCCTGCCAAGAGCCTTTGAGGAAGACAACTGATGTTTCCAGGTATCTGAACTCCCGGTAGTTTTTATTACCTTCATCTTTTGCATCATTCCCAAATTGTAGTTTCCAGCTTTAATGAGCTGTTCACACTCTTAAACTGCGGGAAGAAGGGGAGACTCTAAATTGGCTTTTTAAAAGCCAGCTATAAGAAGGCCTCACAGACCAGAAAAGAATTATGGCTCCAGCTAGCCACAGGCCCCCTAGTGGTGACATTGAGAACAGGAGCCCAGATGAAAAACACTCAGCCTGTGACCCAGCTTTCAGCCTGACAGTGAAAGGGAGTGGGAGGGTTTTAAAGCCCAGGAGGCTCTCAGAACATCTCATGTGGAAGTGCTGGTGTGCAATGTGTGGACTGACAGGGCTGCAGTGGCCCTGGCCACCTCCCTTGGGATGTCTTGGGTCTAGCAAGCTCCTGTGGAGATACAGGCATTGTCTGGTTAGGGGATCATCTGTTCCTGCTTGCTTCATAGGTTCTTCATGGCGATGAATATAATGGGCCTGATGGGGGTCGAGGCCAGCATGGGTGCTGGATACTGGATGTTAGGTGCACACACAGGCCCATCTAAGTACATAGGAGGTTGAACAACAGGGTCCTCAGTCTTCAGGTTCACAGTCCTTTTTAGTCTGGCAACAGCCCAGCCCTGTTTGTCCTTTGCACATGTCCATAGCTTGCCTATTCTATCACTATCCTATTGCTATTGCTATCCTATTGTATTGCTGTTGTATAGTATATTATATTGCTATTCTATTCTATTCTGTTCTGTTCTGTTCTGTTCTGTTCTGTTCTGTTCTGTCTATTCTATTCTATTCTATTCTATTCTATTCTATTCTATTCTATTCTATTCTATTCTATTCTATTCTATTGTTATCCTATTGATGTCAACCTTATTGTACCCCTTGCTTTTAGGGGCTCTGCAATCCTTCATGCTTTGGGCCCAGATGTTGCTTCTGAAGAAAATGCTGAGGTTTTCTCATCCTCACCTCTGAACTCCACTCATCTTGGGGTGGATGATAGGCTTGGTTTATGGTGCCTGTCAGAATGAAGTTGGGTACTGTCTTGTGCCCATCTGGTCATCTCCTGTGTGGCTAGTCAGGCTCCAGCCTTGTCTTCGTAGTAGGGTGGAGCAGGAGAGGCTTTGTGAGCCATTCATCTGACTCCTCCCCTCCATGGGGTTGGTCTGTTAGTCAATCTGATGCTCCTTGAACTTGGAGCTGGAATGGAAATCCAGTCTGCAGCTGCAGGAAGGGCTCATTCCCTCTGAGCACTGTCCCCTCTGATTGGTGTCAGTGTGCATCACCCTGACCACAGGAACAGCTGGCCAGGTGTTTTCCTGTCTTCTGAGGGTCTACCCTAGCAAGCAGAGGCTCCTCCTGTCCCCTTGATAGTGTTAGACAGGTTTCTTCTCATCTCCTGGGACAGACTGTGACAGAGGATGACCCAGCAAAAGGAGAATGGTCTGCGCCAGATGAAATAGAAAAAGAAACGGCAGCTTTTCTCTCCGCCAGTCTCATCCAGAATGTCCTCCACCTTTATCCAGGATCGAACTCAGCATAGACTCTGAACAACCAAGGTCCTCATTCAGACCTCCCTTTGTGCACAGTCCCTGCCCCGTGATTCAGGATGGTTTTTCCCAGGCTTTTGTCTTCTTACTTATCCTGCCCTCTCGTGTCATGACTGTCTTTGTGTCTTCTGTTGTCTTGCTTCTCCAGCCACATTGCCAGCACCTTGCTGGCCTACTGAGGGAGATTTAAACTTCATCTTTCTTTCTTTCTTTTTTTTTTTTTAAGTCTTCAAGCTTTGCGAATAATAAGGCCTACAGAAGGCTTACAGGAAAAATGGCTGCCTCTCTGCTCCCTTCCTTGAGGAAGAAATTAGTACTGGTTTGTCTTCCCTCCAAGTTCCTTAACAGTTGACTTTTTACCTTGTGATGATCCCAGTACTTAGGAGGCTGAGGCCAAAGAGTGTGGGTTTGAGGCCAACCTGTACTACACAGTAAGACTCTGTGTCACATAACTAGGGAGAACAATCCCAGCCTGACAGTTCTGTCAAACTCGAGTTGAGGATTCAGTATCTCTGGACATAGGTGACTTACTTTAGAACCCCCTTTTAACCTGAGGTTGCAGATCTCCATTCTTTAAATATAGCTCGATAAAAAAAAACAAAGCCTATGAAAGCAGTCTGTAGATTGTGAAGAATAGCTGTTTAATTATTTTTTCTTGTGTACGTGTGTTTGTGTGTGCATGTGCTCGTGTTTGTGCATGTGGAGGCCAGTGGTCAGTGTTAGGTCTTACTTTTTGAGCCAGGGTCTCACACTGAACGTGGGGCTCACAGTCTCAGGTAGACTGCTGGCCACCCAGACCCACGCACCCTGCCTGTCTCTGCGTCCTCGGTGTTGGGATTACAGGTACGCACCACTGCACCCTGCTTTTTACTTGGGCACTGACGCCTGAACCCAGTACTTCACACCTACACAGCGGATGCTTTCCCAACTGAGCCATCTCCCCAGCTCTAACCTTTTTATATTAAAAACAAATCAATTTATGTATCTTTGGTCATTAAAAAGCTGTGATAGTAATAGTGGCTATAATAATAGGTAAAAAGCGATAGTCACTAGAGAAAAGAACACTTGAGTTTACAGAGCCTAGATCCTGCTCATTTTGGTGACTTTTTTTATTATAATATAAATTGGCCAATTTATAATTTTTTGAGATTTGTCGCAATTTATCTTTTAAAACAACAGTATAAACTCGCTATTAACCTTCTTATGTGTTTTCAGTCTATCAGTTCCCTATGCATCCACACATGCCTCTTTGTACAGAGGACGCCTTCACATTGTTTAGATTGTTTACTCAGGTGTATTGCATTTAGGCATATATCATAAATATCCTATGACATGAGCAACATGTCCTACATTGTGAGTTTTAATAAGCACCGCCAAACCCTGTTAGACCCTGTCAACTTATTTAGCCATTCCCTTATGGTTGCATAAGCAGGGTCCCTGCCAACTCTTTGCTGGTAAAAATCACAGCTATTGTGTGAACCATGTAAACGTTGCTTCTCGCTATCAATTATTCATTTTCCCCCAGACTGCGGAGTCTATATAGCTCGGTAATCTAGACCCCAAGATGACGCCATTAGCCGTACGTAAGTTACTCTATCCCATCGTGGATTGGTTATCTGAGAGACTCACTTAGATGTGCAAGGCCAGGCCAGCAGTTTTGCAGTTTGTCCAATCACAGACTGCTACTGTGCCTAGTTTTTTTTTCCCTTATCTTTTAATCTAAATTTTTCTTTCGCAGCTATAAAAATAAGAGACCAGGGGATGGAGCCTCTTTCTCGAAGCTCTGGATCCTCCGGATTTACCAACTGTAAAGAGTTCCCAAATGGAAAAGCTTTCGTGTAGAAGCAGGGCCGCGGCACTTAGAAACTCACAGTGGCTGTGGTTGGCTGCACACCAGCTCGAACCAGTCAGCGTTCTAACATGGGGTGGGATAGGTTCCTGAGCCTGTCTCAAAAAATAAGGTGGGCAGGAAGGATACCCAGGGGGCCCACCCTCTCAGAGGAGAAGGGGAGGGGAATGGAGGGAGGGACTCTGTGAGGGGGAACCAGAAGGGGGCAGGCAGCATTTGGGATGTTCATAAATAAATAAAGTAGAGAGAGAATAATCGAGGTTGATCTCTGGTCTCCAGATGCATGTGCACAAACATGGATACCCACACAGACACCATACATACCACATACACACTCCCCCGACCCCCACACCCCTCCACACACAGACAGGAACACATTTAGTGAGGAATGGATTTGACGGAAAACTTCGGTGATGTGTAGAAATGAGCTCTAAGAATCATGTTTTCACGATTCAGGACACGCCCTGAACCTTACTACCATGACACGTGCCAGCCTGTCTCCCCAGAAGTGGGTCTCGAGAGCTGCCATGCGGGACAAGCCATTCAGCTCTCTGTAGGATACTTGAAATGTACCCACTATACCCTCCCAGGTCACTGGAGCTAGGGGCTGTCCTTCCATCTTGGTCTTTCACCTCCCATTACATGGAAGAAAATATTGTACTATCTAATGACACCCTAATAAAGCACTTTTCAACAAGCTACTATTCTGGGATTCTTTCTTGAGTTTGAGAATGTTTCTCTTCTTCTCATCCCCCACCCTGACCCCAGCTGAGCTTAAATGGAAAGCAATATTCGATCACATAATTCAACTAATTGCCTTTGTATGTTGGCAATGACGTTGTCCATCTAATTTGCTATTCTGTGGCAGACTGAGAAACCTGTTGAACTAATACAGTGAGACTCTTTTTTTTTTTTTTTTTTTAAATCAGATGGTGTTACTAACCACATGGGTCTTATTTTGGCCGTGCTTGCTCTAAGTTGCTCTTCTGCTGTGGCAGGTAGGAAGTAAGAATAGAATTTTGCCCTGCCAGAAGTCTGGACCTATCATAGCCCCACAGAAGAGGGCTTTGGGTCAGGCATGGATTTAAAGCTTAGTCCTGTGCCTTATTTGTGTCCTCCTCATAGGGAGGCGTCGCCCCTTTTGGAGTCTTCATTTATGAAGCATGAAGATTTACTGCTTTTACTGACACAAAATATTTTTATATATTTATTGATACAGTGTAATGATCCAGTACCTGTGTATAATATATAATGATCATATCAGTGATTAGCATTTCTAATGGCTCAGCATTTATCATTTCTATGCAATTTCAAGGCTTATTTTTTAATTTTTGAAAACTTTGTGGGGTGTGTGTGTGTGTGTTTACATCTGAGTGTGAGTTCCGTGTCGTCGTGAGCTGCCTGGCATGGGTAGTAGTGGGGGGTGTGTGTGTGTATGTGTGTGTGTTTACATCTGAGTGTGAGTTCCGTGTCGTCGTGAGCTGCCTGGCATGGGTACTAGCAAGCAAGCTCAGGTCTTTTGTACAAGCAGTGCCCTGTCTGCATCACCGAGCCGTCTCTCCAGCCCCTCGGACTTACTGTAGAACGGTAGCACTGAGGCCAGTGTGATATTGGAGACAGAATAGACCATTGGTCAGTGGGACAGAATAGAATCCAGAAGCAGATCCCACAGACATAGCCAGCAGTGTGATTACAAAGGCAATTTCATGAAGAAAAGATGGAGTCTCAACAGATTCTGTTAAAACAGACTTCTCTTTGTCCCTAAACTAAAGCAAAACGTCAGCTTCTCTTTCCCACCTGGTAGGAACTAACACGGAATGGAACTTGAGTTTCTAAGTTAGCCATAACCCAGGACATGTTAAGCCCAGAGGCTGCTCAGGAGAGTGGAATCTTTGCAGGAAAAAGAAAATGGGTTTATTTATAAGTTCTGAAAATAGAGTTGCATGTAACTAATAGGGGGTCTGATATAATCCTGTTGGTGTTAGTGAAAAAAATAAAATATTTTAAAGAATAGAACTTGGAAAAGCTACTCAGGCACAGTTTACTATCTGAAGTATTTGAAAATAATCAAAATATATCAAACCTGTCCAGAGCAGCCTGACTGGATAATCTTGTTCCTTGAAGGCTGCTTGAGAAGGGTCCTGAAAATGGTGTCAATGTGGCCTTTTGACTGTCTGCGGCTTCATTGTCTCTCATGAATATATCAAAAGATAGTCCTTAAGGGATCCGTTAGAAATCATACAAGTAGTCAGAAGCGTAGCAGGGAGCCTACCTTTCCCCGCCTCTGCCTGTGCTTCATTCGGGTTGTATAGAGAGAGCTTGTTGGGAGGCCTTTTGGGGATCACAGCCTAAATAGTCACTTGATCTCTGCCAGAGGTGGCGAACAGCTGTTGACGGAATTGGCTGACATTTGTACACGTGTGAAATAGACAAAGCATACCCACTCGAGCCCGTGCCCTCTCTGTTCCTCCCCAGAGCTGTGACGGAGAGCATCAATCAGCTCATCATGTTGTGCACTCAGCAAGCCCCTGGGCAGAAGGAGTGTGACAATGCCCTGCGAGAGCTCGAGGTGAGTGCCCTGCAAGGCTATGAGGGTCGGGAGCTCTGCCCGGAGCCGGGTCTTCCCCAGATGGTGGGTGACTCGTCTCTCTTCTATCTATGCTTCTGTCTCTTCTAGGTGGAAGGAGCTAGAGAAAATGGCATTTCATACTATTTTCACCAGGATTTCTCCTTTTCCTACTAGACCAACATGTAGTTTGTTTCTTAAAGGATTTTTCAATTCAAACAGGAAATGGTGTTGCGTGTAGGCTGCCAATGAGCAGACATTGCCTACAAACTATTAAAGAGATTATTCTTGGATAACCAGGAGAGAAACAGAGCCTGGGGCTGGAGAGACAACCCAGTTGGTAAAATACCACAAACCAGGAGCACCTGAGTTCTAACCCCAGACCACACATACAGAAGTTTCTCATGGTGGTGGAGGAGGTTGAGACAGGCAGATCCAGGAGGTTTCCTTGCCAGACACCCTGGCCTACTCGGTGAGCTCCAGGCCAGTGAGACAGAGTTGATGGCGCCTGAGGAATAGCACCTGAAGGTGACCTCTGGCCTCCACACCCACGTGTTCACATCTTCACACAATTATTCTCACCTACATTTTATTCTGCCACATGTAAGGGACACACTGGAGGAGGTCGAAGGGCTCATTTGCCTCTTTATAACTTAGGAAGCTCCTCTTGGCACTTGTGGGTACCTTTTGACGTGCATTCGTGGTGTGTGTTTTTGTCTGAAATTATGCAATGCTTCTCATAGAAAGTCTATGGGCAGAGAAAACCATTTTGCCTACTCATCTGTAAAGCAGTCCTTACCTACCTAGATCCAGTTGGATGGGCTCAGGGTATCTCCGTAGACATAGATGGTTTGTACCTATCGTTCTTCCAGTTGTCCTCATGGCTGGCGTGGGTCTGACTTGGTAGGAATACCCATGGCAGCTTCTAAGTGCTTCATCAAGGCCATGATGGTAGTGATAGCTAGAGCTGAAGTGAACGGTGTCCAGTAAGTCAAGACTGAAGCATTTGAACATTGTTAGGAACGGTTCTTCCATGTGTTCTAGTTTGCTTTCTGTTGCCGTGATAAACACCATAACTGAAGGCAACTTGGAGAAGGAAGAAGCCAATTTGGCTTACAGTAGCTGTACGGTTTGTCACTGAGGGAAGCCCAGTCAAGAACTCAAGGCAGGAACTTGAAGCAGAAACCACTAAAGGACACTACATACTGGCTTCCTTCCAGGCTCATGTTCCACTTGCCTTTCTTGTACAGCTCAGCCCTATCTGCCTAGTAATGGCGCCACTCATGATGGGCTGGGCTACATCTATTAGCAATCAAGAAAATGCCCTGGTGACTTGCCCACAGTCCCGTCTCATGGAGGCAGTTCTTTAGATGGGGTTCCTTCTTTCCACGTGTATTGGATTGACAACCGAAATCAGCCATTACACGTGAGCCGTTCACGGCCTTAGCATGTTCAGTAGCGAATTTCACCCTCTCAATGTGTGTGACACATACGTAGTTGGTCTAAATAAGACTCGTTAGCGTGGGTGCCCTGTGCTTTAAAGGCTTCTCAGGATTATTGATGCTGAAAACATTTCGGTTATCCAAGAAGAGGCTTTCGATAAAATAAGCTCCTGCCCTGTGCAGCCCTCTTCCCTCTGAATGGATTCGTATCAGCAGCTCCCGTTAACCCACACGCACCCTTTGGAACTCAGGTCCGTTGTCATTTTCTTGACTGTGTCACCAGAGGCTGCTGACTGGTAGTGTGCAGTCTCTTGATGATGAACACATTCAAGGGTCCGTCCCCTGGCTGTCAATCAAAGGAAGAACTCCTCATGGGTAGTGATCCAAGGTCCTGGGGAAAGCTAGTGATTTTTACTGATTTGGAGAGACAGAAGAACCGACTTTTACGAGCTTCCTGCATGGGTACCTAAGCAAGAGTGGACTTTTTCTACACTTCTCAAATCAATAACAGATGAACCATCCCGGGGGCCACCTTTGGGGAGTCCGTTCTTCCGTGTGCTTCCACTAGAAGGCCCCAGAATTGAAATATTGAGGGTCCTTCTTAACCAGAACGAGTGTGCATTCGGAATATAAGCTCTCCAGGGTTACCTAAATTGTGTTAGCCAACAATGAATACATTGCTTTGCAGTAACTTCAAACTTTCCTCTAAAAGTCCTCCTGCAGCCCAGTGTGGTATAGCACATGCCTTAAATCCGAGCATTTGGAAGGCAGAGACCAGGCCAGCTTGGTCTCCAAAGTAACTTCCTGGACAGCCATGGCTTTTTTATACAGAGAAACTCTGTCTTAAAAAAATAAAATAAAATAAAAATTTTTTTTGAAAAAGCCCTCCTATAGATACCAGGTCCCTCCCAAACTGAACTAATAGCCTGAGACCCCCTGCCCCTGGCACCACTGTTTTGCTGACAGGGAATCTGAAGTCTTGACGCCCTGGTCTCAGTTCCTCCTATGACTCCAAATGATTGATCACTTATGGCCCTAGTCCTAGTCCAGCAACAATTAGCAGTGGTTGTACTTGGCAGAGGGTTTCCTCTGTGCCTCTGGCTCACTTGCTAAGCTGTGTTCTCCTGTGTAGACCGTCAAGGGGATGTTGGAAAACCCGAATGAGCCTGTGAGCGACCTCTCTTACTTTGACTGCATCGAGAGTGTGATGGAGAACTCCAAGGTAAGCCAGTCTGTGTTAGTTACCCTCCTTTCTGCTGAGATAACGTACGTAACAAGGAGCCTAAAGAAGGTAGGCTTCCTTTTGGCTTAAATCCGAAGGTCCAGCCTGACGGCAGGATTATGAGACGGACAGTCAAGTCACACTGCGTCTCCAGTCAGGAAGCAGAGAAAGATGAATGCAGGTGTTCAGCTCACTTCCACCTTTTTACAAAGTTTAGGACCCTAGCCTTATGGACAGTGCCACCAAACTGGGTCGTCCCTCCTTAGTCAGCCACGTCTGGAGACCCCTCACAGGCATGCCCAGAGCCTTATTTCCTCAATAATTATAGATCCTGTTGGGTTGACAATCAATATTAACTGTGAACTGTCTGTGCCAAAATACAGACATCAATGCTGCTCCTCAGTGGGGAGAAACAGAAGGGGGAGAAACTGAGAAAAAGCATCTGCCTCACCCTGGGTGGCCCAATATGGTGAAATCTTGTCACATGCTCTCAAGTGTCCTCCACATTCAAGGTCTCTCAGAACTATGTGGAAAGCTGGGTAAACACCAGGTGCCAGACCCCACCCCCCCAAGGTTTGAAGTCTGTGTTTCTGAGGGGCTCCCAGTCCTGCCTCTGTGGTCTAGGAACTTCTTTGAGAACTCCTGCTTATATCATCGAAGATGGGTCTCACTGAGAATCCAGCCTGTGTTTTCTATCCTGGAGGCTGAACTGCTGTTCAAAGTCCTCCTGTGACCTTGGCATGAAAGCCCCTTGTTTGTATTTTGTGCTATCTAGTCGTAGCATACATTTTTTTGAGGGGAATAAATATTAGTTTTGGGTGGTCAGGAAGAGAAGTATGTTAAAACTTACGATGGCTTCAAGGCCTTCCTCCGGAAGATCCGATTCCTCGCTGTTTCGTTGGGGGAAGATGGGAATTAAGACAAGGCAATAGTGAGAGTGACATTTGGGAGCAATAGTGAAGGAGAATGCTCAGGAACCAGAGAGCACCAGTGATATATACCAGAGAGACAGTTGGCACTTGAACTTTTGTCCCCTGTGCACGCTGGTTTCCATCACTTCAAGCTTGGCGAACCGTCTGTATTGAGGTCAGGAGGCTCAGTTTGTGTTAGGCTAAGACAAGAATTTCCTCTGCTCAGCTACTTTCATGGAGTAAAGGGCTGTCTGAATGGAGAGAGTATATGACTTAAATACTTAAAATCTGAAATTTAGCTCAGGCTAGCCTTGAACATGGCCTTTGAAGCATGACTCTGACTCCCCTGCTCTCACTGCCCAAAGTGCTGGAATTGCAAGTGTGTCCCACCACAGCTGAACCGTTGAACCCAAGGCTCCATGCATCCTAGGCTAGCATTCTCCCTGCTGAACTCCACCTCCTCCCTAGGAAGGGTCTCTTCTTAAAGAGTTAAGACGAGGGTAAAATCCTGTGCTTACAAACAGTCCCTAGCTACCTGGCTCTGTACATCTTTATATAAACTCAATTATTTTATATATTAAAAAATTATAGCAATTGGTTTTGTTTCTTCAAAATGGCTTATGGTCTCAGGAAGAATTCTATATCACAGAAACTTGACAATCTCATCTCTCGCCCAAGGGTGAATGAACATTTTCTACTGTATAGTCTATGGTCCTGGGAAGCACAGACTCTCCTTGTGGCAGAGGTCAAAGCCGGGAGAGGATGGGGCACCAGATTTGGGGTAGATGTCCTACTCTGCCCATGTGACCGTCTGTATGATCTTTAGAGGACATTTGAGTTCCCTAGATTGCACACTGACTGTGACAATCCTTGTCAGGCCTTATTTGGAGGGGAAAGAAAGAAAGAAAGAAAGAAAGAAAGAAAGAAAGAAAGAAAGAAAGAAAGAAAGAAAGAAAGAAAGAAAGAAAGAAGGAAGGAAGGAAGGAAGGAAGGAAGGAAGGAAGGAAGGAAGGAAGGAAGGAAGGAAAGAAACCAGTGTTTTTCAAAACTTGATAAATCAATCATGCAAGGGAGAGTGTGCCTTCCACTTTCCTGGTTCGAATTTCAAGTCCAGCTCCCTGAGTGTGAGTTTATGCTCTTAGAAGTAAAGATTGGGCCATGTGCCAGTGAGAGGCTTTGTGTAGATTATACACGATGATCTCTGTGTGTTGACTGAACCCCCAGGAGATTCTGACAACCTTTGGGTGCAAGGTTTGTACTCCTTTTATGTATTCGTCTTCAGCATAGAGAGGTGGTGTAATTCTCTCGAATCTCTCTTGGGTACAGTAAAGGCAAAGATGACAAATGTTTTCAATTAAGTCGCTTTGAGTATTAAAGCAGCAGGGTAACTTCCTGCAGCCCTGGGATGGAATAAAAACTCAATGACTAGTTGCTGTTTTGCAGGTTCTGGGCGAGTCAATGGCAGGGATTTCACAGAATGCCAAGACTGGAGACCTCCCTGCCTTCGGAGAATGTGTGGGGATTGCATCCAAGGCTCTCTGTGGGCTGACAGAGGCAGCAGCCCAGGTGAGAGCCCTGTACACACCTGCTTTCCAGCTTGTGCCCTAGGACATAATACATACTCCTGAGGGAGGTCTGCTTCAGCTCCTCCAAGCACTGGGATAGGAACCATGGGGAAGCTGATGGCTTCTGGGTGGGTGGGCATATAGGGAGAATGCCAGCCAGTGCTTCTGGGCGCATGCGGGGAGGACAGTCAGACTGCATAAATACTGCAGACCTGACACCCAGAGGTCAGAAACAGCTTTTTAAAGCCAGTGTCGTAGATAAATTGTTCCAAGGAGAAGAATAAGTATTGAGTAATTAAAAGGCCCTCAGTCTTTAGAACGGCACGTTAGCCATATTCTTCAGAAGAAAAAGAAGAAAAACTCCAGCCCTATCATGCAGAGCTATAATATGATATTTAGCACCTTCCTTTGGCTGACCTTGTCCATTTCAAGTCATGATTGGGACCGTATAACAAAAACTTCAAAGATGGCAGCATTTAGCTCAAAGGGTTTATCACTGATGGTTAAGCTTGAACTTGGGAGATTTCACTTGTTCAAAGTCAAACATCCCTAATTGAAAGAGAAGATTCCTAACCTTGACCCTGTCCCTCAAACCCCCCCGAGCTCATTCTGTTAGTTATTTCCTACTGCATCCAAAGGGAACCCAAAGAAACAGCCTTTTCTGCAACCATCCTGTTGGAGCAAATGATATCTTTCCTTCCTTCCTTCCTTCCTTCCTTCCTTCCTTCCTTCCTTCCTTCGATCCATCCCATTTGTCTTACTTGATTGCCTAAGCCAAGACTCTGACTGCTATTGGAAATAGTGACCTAGGCATGGACCCTCTGGGTTAGGAAACCTTTGGGCAGCCAAGGCCCTAGGATGAACTGCCTCAGAAGCTCCCTATGTCAGTCTGCACTGGCTTTCTTCTGCCTCTTCTAACTGTAACCCACAGCCAGCTTCACACTAAAGGCAGACATCCTCATGGTCATATGATGGCTGCCAGCAGCTGTGCAAGCTGCACCCATCTGTGTCCGTGCCCCACAGGAGAGCATCTCAAAGGCTTTCTCTTAAGAACAAGGAGGCTTTGTTCCCTGATGCCTGCAGCAAACTCCTGATGGTATGTCAAACTGGCACAGGCCTGTCTGTCACCATGTCTTCATTGGCGAGAGGGATGAGCTGACTTTGGGTAGCTTGCCCTAAGGAGTACCTGAGCTTGCCAGCTGCCAGTACACTGCACACCATTGTCTCCCATGGCTCATGGAGGAGCCTGGAGCCTGAGGTGTGATTTTTTTACCCTTCCTTTTCTAGGCTGCCTACCTGGTTGGCATCTCGGATCCAAACAGCCAGGCAGGCCATCAAGGCCTGGTGGACCCCATCCAGTTTGCCAGGGCTAACCAGGCGATCCAGATGGCATGTCAAAACTTGGTGGACCCTGGCAGCAGCCCATCACAGGTAACCAGGGAAGGATGTGGGGCCTGTGATCTCTTAGGCTTCTCTTGGTGAGCGATGGGAGATGGGAAAGTCAGGAGAGAATCCTGTGTTTTCAAGGCTTGCACACCCAGATGACTGCAGCTGTGCAGATAATAACTGTCTTCATTTCATGAAATGCCCTGACTGAAGCAGCTTGGGAGCAGAGAGAACGTGTATGCCTCTGGTCAGCTTGCTTTCTCTGCCCTTATCCAATTCAGCACACCGGAAATGGTGCCTCCTACTTTCAGGTTCAGTTAGGGTCATCCAGACAGTCCCCACTGGCATGCCTGGTTGAGACTCTCCTTCCGCAGGTGGTTCTAGGCTATGTCAGGTTGACAGATGAACTAGCATCACAATGACCAGGAGAGTATCGCAAATGTGGTAAAGGCAAGAATATACTTATTTATAGATTCTGAAAAGCAACAGAGTGAAACCATGTCACAGAATTCATGAGGAGGGTCTCGGCCGTTTATTGACAGTTCGTTCTGTGCTCAGCGCTAAGTCAGCAGAAGTGAGACCTGACCTTTGCCCCTTTGGGTCTTACTCCATTAGGAGTTCGGTTGGGATGTGTTGATAAGGTAGAGCATTGTTCTAGTTTTGGTTGCTGTGATAAAACACTCTAAACAAAAACAACTTGGGGGAAGAAAGGGTTTATTTCAGCTTCCATTTCCAGGTTACAGTCCATCACAGAGGAAATGTCAGGGCAGGAACTCGAGTAGACACCATGGAGGAATGCAGTTTACTGGCTCACTCATGGTTTTATGCTCAACTTGCTTTCTCGTATAGCCCAGGCCCATCTGCTAAGGGATGTGCTGCCCACAGGTTGGCTGGGCCCTCACACATTGATTATCAGTCAAGACAGTCTCTCAAAGACATGGCCACAGGCCAGTCTGGTTGAGGAAGTTCTTCAGTTGAGGTTCCCTTTCCCCAGATGACTTCAGGTTGTGTCAAGGTAACAATAAAAACTAACCAGGACAGAGATATATTAGGAGAAGTGTGACAAGTTTTCACGGGTCACTTCAGAGATGATAGCACTGAGTCAAGCCTCAGATTTGAGGTCAGAATCCACAACACAGAAAGGAGCCCAAGAGACATTTGAGGAGCAGATGGTGTGTGTCACATACCTTGGTGCCTGTGGTGTCATGGGGACCTGGTTACATAGGAAAACAGTATGCACTGAAAAGAAAGAGAAGTGCCTACTATGGAGTACTAGCTGTAGCCTTGAGAGTGGCATGCCCACTATGAGCTTAGGTCAGCATTCTTAGGGCAGTACAAAGATCTAAGAATACAGTACCAGGGCTATTTGGACCTGCCACAGCCCAGAGTGTATTCTGAGGTGCTCGTGAGCCTGTCTAACCCCCACAAAGGGAAGTCTATGGCTTCCAGAGAGTACTCTGTGTTGAGAATAGGCAGTTGCAAGATGGTCCACAGACTGTTAGTCATTACCTACAGCTCCCCCTAGGGGGAGGAGGGAGTGGTGCATCTAGCCACTTACTGTACCCATCCTAACCTGCTCCAAGGAGTTGGCCACTAGCAAAATGTAGCTATTAATCACTAGTAAAATATCTAGTCCAAATAGCTATGACCTGTGAGTGTCTTGTGCATGCTGAATTTCAAAGACTTGGCATGAACCTCAACTTACAGGATCCTATTGCTATTTGTAAATTGATTATGATGAACTATTTTGGATATACTGAGTTAAATAAACTATATTACTTAATTCACGTCTCTTGTTTCTCTACTCATTTTAATGTGTCTACTGGCAGACTTTTAAAAAAGGTGTCCTAGGCCTTGGCCTGAAGCCTGGGCCTTGGACTCTGGGGTTCCAAGGACTAGCTGACCTTATACCCTTTGAGAGTGGGGCCCAGTACCTCCTTCCCTTTTCTATTTTCACTCTATCTTGCTTCATGTTTCTTGCTCTTTCCTTCCTCGGGGTGACTCTAGGCACAGCAGAACTAGCCAAACGAGACCGCCCAGATTCTGGACATGTGGGCCGCAGAGAGCTGCAGGCCCCTCTGCACTGGCCTGTGTGGTCTCCACCCCTAACCCAGCTCCATGCTTTGTAGGTTCTGTCAGCTGCCACTATCGTGGCCAAGCACACCTCAGCTTTATGCAATGCCTGCCGCATTGCCTCGTCCAAGACGGCCAACCCTGTTGCCAAGAGGCATTTCGTCCAGTCAGCCAAGGAAGTTGCCAACAGCACCGCCAACCTGGTCAAGACCATCAAGGTAGGTGACTGCATTGCAGGCCTTGTCAGTCCCTGTACAGAGAGGGGAGAGGAGTGTGGCTAAGGCTCTATTTCCTGAGACGGACGAGTGGTAAGGTGTAGCCCTTAAGTCATAGGTGGGGAGGGGTCGCTTCCGCTTACTAATCTGGAAATATTCATCAGGAAAGCCCTACCAGCTATACCTCCACGGTAGTAAGTAGGGAGTCACTCCCAATTCTGCAGCTAGGAGGTTAGGGCCTAAAGTTGGGGGCGGGGATGTTAGGGTCCTTTCTTAGTGCTGTGTGTGGGTACAGCCTGTGTGTACTTGGTGTGGTTTTGAGAGGTCTGATGGGGGCTTGTGCCGCTGTTGTTGAAGACTTTTGACCAAGAGAGAATATGGAGGAGAAAGGAAACAGGAAATTATAAAGCAACTGCATTTTTAAAAATCACTTTGGAGCTGGAGAGATGGCCCAGTGGGTAAAATGCTCACCCTGCAAACGTGAAGACCGAGTTCAAATCTCTACTGCCCTTGTAAAAGCCTGACACATCAGTGCACATCTGTATTCCCAACGCTGGCCCAGCAAAGGTGTACGAGTTAAAGTCCATGGGTAGATGAGGGGTCGGGGCCAGGCTCCCTTGCATTGAGTTGGTCAGACAGCAGTCTCTCTATAGGTGGGTGCCCTAAGCAAGGACTGTGCACAGATCAGGTAGCTGATTTTGTAGGAAAACAGCCAAAACCTGGACAGCAAACCACAGGCTCGCACCCCAGTGTCATCTCAGTCCCCACCCCCAGCCTTCAAAGGAGCATTGTTTTGGGAGGCAAGATACCAGTTCTGTGTAAACCATCGGCGCGCTGAGAGGAAAGGGACTGTTGGTTTGTTTACAGTTTTGTGTGGTGTTTTGTGTGGTGCGCTGCTGAAGTAAATGAAATGAGGAGGTGGCCAGGTGTGGCTGAGGAAAAGGGTTTTATTGTAGATATGAGGGGGATACATCTAGAGGCATCTGGAAGAGTCCAGACTGAATTGAGCCAGAAGAGGTGAGAGGGCAAGCTGACCAAGAGAGGAGCCGAGGACCAAGAGAATCAAGAGACAGTGTGGCCGAATTGCCAGGGATGTACGGGAGAGAAAAGCCTGGGGGAAGGGAAGCAAGCCCCTGGGGCCAGAGAGCTTTAACTAGGGGATGTGGTAAGATGAGCTGAGAGGTGCCATAGGTGCTGGGTGAGCCTGGAGGCCTGCACGTGCCCTGGAATGCTAATGGGCACCACAGTTAGTCCCAGGTTTCTCTGGGACCTAACACTTAAGTACTTGCTTTACAGCTGACCAACACCCCCAGCCTGACTTCAGTAAAACAGATTCCAACCTTACCACAACTTGACTTTTTTCTTTTTCTGCAAAAAATCTCTGTACAGCCCCCATGCAGAAGTCAGAGTGACCCTTGCAGTGGCCAAAGGGAAGAGCATCCATCCGGCCTGCAGCAGCTGGGAGCTGACTGGAGAAAGCAAGGCCAGTCAGCCCAGTCAGCAGTTCCTTAGCTGTTTCAACAGAGAGTCGTTTTAAAAACAAACAAAAGGCCTCTGTGCTTGAAGGATAGGGGAAACTAGATGGAAAATGAATAAACAAATTAAATTAAATCCAGTGTCCCTGTGCTCTAGGAGCCTCATGGCAGCTCGGCTCCCTTGCCACCAGAGTGTATGATATTAGCAAATAACAAGCTTATGTTTTTGAGTGTATATTTTATGCTTTGTGTATGTTACTTGGTTTCATGCGCACAGCTGTGCTGTGTTTATCATGCCCATTTTGCTGATGGGAAACTGAGACACAAAGGTTAAGTAACCGCCTAGGTAAACCAGCCAATAAATGAGAGATGAGAATTCAAGTCCAGGTCCCTGAGCAGGATCTCAGTTCCCACACGCTGTTGGGCTCCTTGGAGCAGAGGGATGAGCTCATCCCTCCTGCCTGGGGAAGGCGCCCTGGCGGTGTTTACAGAGCGGGAGTGTAAGTCTGGGGGTTGAGGGCAGGAAGGACAATGTAGTTAAAAGCTGTGATGTCATTCTTGCTTGCTGCATAATTAACTTTTCTCAGTTAAAAGTCACTTTCTGATCATTATAAAGCATTGCAGGGGAGGGAAGACCTTAGAAACTCCTGCAGCCCCTCTCTCTCCTGCAGCCTCTCTCTCCTGCAGCCTGTCTCTCCTGCAGCCTCTCTCTCCTGCAGACCCTCTCTCTCCTGCAGCCCCTCTCTCTCCTGCAGACCCTCTCTCTCCTGCAGACCCCCTCTCTCTCTCCTGCAGCCCCTCTCTCCCCTGCAGCCCCTCTCTCTCCTGCAGCCTCTCTTTCCTGCTTCCTCCTCACTTTTAAATTCTGCTCTGTCCGTTAAGATCTTAAGATGGAATCTTCTTTCACATCCTCCTCACAGTGTCAATCCCTCTGCAAATCCCTGCAGCAAATGAGCTCATGTGATGGTCCAAAAGATAGGCTTGTGGAAAGCCTCAGAGGCGAGCTGGGTGGTTATCATATGGAACACAGAAAGCCTGCCTCCCATGAGCACCTCTGCAGACCAGCATCAGTATGAGGAGAACAGAAATGAGCCTACTGCGGCAGCTTGTCAAAAGGTGCCCAGAGTTTTCAGTCTACACTGGTGTGGCAGGGTTCGTCCGTCTGGAGTGCTTCTGCCTTTCCCTCACTAATGAGAAAATGGCGGACGTTGCATCCTTGGTGCCCCCTGCTCTGTACCTGTATCTGCTCTGTATCGGTATCCTGGTATCAGAAAAGCAAGTGGCTCCTTGATTTCCTGACTAGTTCAGTACTGTAGCTGCACCCTTCACCATCCTTCCTCCTTAATGTGTTTGCTTTGTACCATGAGGCTGTCTCCAAACATCAGCCCAGTTGCCGCACCCTTCCAGTCCTGAAGAAGGGAGAAAATGGAATGCCACTGGGACCTTACGTCTCTCCCGATGGCATTTTCTAAACAACCTGAGCATAAGCCAGCAGGAATGCATTTCATACCCTCCTACCAGGGAGGGCTCTCGGTGCCGGGGCCGGGCGAGTTACAAGGACGCTGGGCTGAGTCTCTGCCCCTGGTCCACACAACAGCCTCTTGCCTAGTTTCTGTGTCTCCATCATGCTCATTACCTAGCCTTGAATCAGATGTGTGGAATGGAATGTTATTTTAAATGTGCAGCCACTCAGGTCTGAGTGCCAAGTGGATATTATGCAACCACAGCTTTTGTTTTGCTGAGAAGTTGAAGTCTGGCCTTGTCATTCACCGCAGAGCGAGCGCTCAGATTTTTGCAATTAGGCACTTCCAGTGAGTGCCACAGACACCCTATCCAGCTCCCTCTGATTGAATTTGACTTGGCTGTAAGTATGTTTTCTTGGTCATCCTTATGTTTGGACTGGTAGTGTAGAGTTCTTCAGACGGGGGTGGGAACATTCTGGGACATCTTAGGCCTTGCTGTCTTTGATGGCATCTAGGATTTGTAAGGAAAAAGAGAGTTGGAGTCTCAGGTGATGGTCTGACATAACAGCAACTAGCAGGGTGACCTGAGTATATTGTGTCAGTTTTTTCCAGGTGCTAGTTTTATTGTGAAAACGAAGCTGGCATTCGGTGACCTTTAACCCTTTAAGTCCATGGGTGTTTTCCCCCACGTACCTGTGAGATTAGACCAAAGACACAAGGAGTGTCAGGCTTGGGGGTCTGGAATGCTCTTGTGCCCGTGGGTTTGAATGTGCAACCAAGTGAATTTAACCCTTCGGTGGCTAAAGGGACATTCTGTGATAGGAGACAGGCACAAGAAAGCGTTTGCAGCCGCTCAGCACTTCACTGTGAGGCTGACTGGAGTGTCCGTTTTACTTGGGTTGCCTCAGTCATATCCAGTGGAGGCAAACTTTGGAAGTGAAACAGTAGCTTTACAGATCACCCTTGCAAATGCCACATGCATCCTTTTGAGGAAATATCGTCTCCGTTTTGAAAACCAAAGCAGGTGGATAATATGTATAGGCTTTGGTTGTAGCTCAGGTTATTTGGTGCCCTGTCCTAGGAATAGCAAGAGACTCCATGAGCTGTGCTTCTTAGGATCCGTGATGAGCAAAGGGAGCTGGTCCATGCCTTGAGATTTATGTCAGGGACATGGGAGTCATCTTTTCGGTTTGTGTAAGTTCAAATGATGGTTGGTCACCTAGGCAGATGTGTTCTATCCTGGCAGACAGAGAAGGAGGTAGGAAAGGAGCGGGCCTGAGTTTGGAAAGATGACAGGAAGAAAGGAAGCCGTGTCATTTTAGCACCTAGGCAGTGTGACTTGTGGCACTGAGGCCCAAGCTCCTCAGACTCCAGAGTTCACTATGGCCGGTCACTGCTTTACTCCTTTTCTTGTGCTGGGACCATCTGTATCAGGCACCTGTCAGGTGACACCCACCATACCTCCCATCGCTGTCCCCAGCTTGCTCTGAGACTTGCTCGGTAGCACCTAACCTCAAGGAGGCTATGATGTTAACAGCGCAGTGAGGTCAGCCTCTGAGGCAATCCTTTTCTGTGGTGCCAGGGACAGCAGTGTAAAGTCAGCGTTTATGAGTACCAGAGGGCAGTTAGAGGTGGGGCCGTGCATGTGAGGAAGGAGTAGCAGGCAAGGTTAAAGTCTCCAGTGGGCCTAGAAAAAAGGCTGAATCTAAGTGGTTAGAGTGGGGTCGGAGTCTGTTGGGTGAGGGGAGGGTGGTAGCCAAAGCGAGCCAGGCACCATAATTCCTGAGGATAGTACGTGAGCAGATCCATGGGAACCTCTCTGAAAATATTAGCATTGCGGCTATGTAATTATTATCCCAAGCTGCCAAGACCCTGGATGGAATGCCGTTGTTAGTCAGAAGTGCCCTTCGGACCTGTTTTGCCTCCGGGTGGTTTGTTCACTAATTGTCTAAGTAGGTTTTTATGTATTCCTCACAAGGACTAAATTCAAAGTCTAATTGGTCATTTCACAAGGAAGTTTGCATTCTTCTGCAAGCTTAGCTGTCTCCCTCTGCTAGAAGACAGTGCACCTGCCATGCTTCACAGCTTGTGTTATTCCTGGAAAGACAGGGTTGGTGTTGGAGAGCCTTGCTTGCCGCATATCCCAGGCCACATCCTAGATTCTCACCAAACTGGCCATTAATAAGCCACATGGCTGATCGCTGACCCCTCTTGTGTTATCTGCCACTAATTAAATGAAAATGAAGCATAAAATATATGGAGGACATATATATCATGTGGAGAACCCATGAATTGTTCCAGCTAAACATATTTACCACACCTCTCCAGAGTGTTACCCAGCTTCTAATACCTCAGTTAGTATAACTTCAGTTTTACTTCATGAGTGAAATTGTCCAATAGGTACTCTTTTATGTGTGTGCGCCCTGCGCGTGCGCGTGCGCGTGCGCGTGCGTGTGTGTGTGTGTGTGAAATGAGCTGGCTGATCTGATCTGAGTTGCCCATTTGGTTGGGTAGGTCTAGTCTAGTCTAGTCGTTCCCGTTGGATTCATTCTAAGATGTTGGTGGTTCAGGGAAACCATTAGATACAGAACTTAGGTAAGTTGGAAGTGAGGACTGGAGACTGAACTCAGGAGTGGATTCTAGTTTTAATCCCCAGAAACAAAAAAAGGGAAGGAAGGAAAGAAGACAAGCTGGTCAGAAGTGCCACACTGTTGTCATTGGGGCAGAAATGGACTTACTCCATTTGGAAATAGAATATTGCATCTCAGAAGTAGGAGAGAAAGTGGCCCGGCAGAGCATGGCTGGAGGGAGGGAAGAGGGAGTCAGTTGACAGCAAGACAGTTGTCCTGTGAGCTGCACATTTAGATATTCCTTAGGAATTATACCTGGGCCTCTCTGGGTGACAGCAGGGATCTCTCTGGTTGCTTCTTACTTGGTGATGAGCAGTATTCCCGAGGGACCATCTTCCCTCGCTAGGAGTGATTGCTATGGCTTCGAAGTGATGAGCCTTTCTCAGTGGGATGGATCTCCCGGTTCTTTCCCATTAGGCCCTGGATGGGGATTTCTCTGAAGACAACCGCAATAAGTGTCGAATTGCTACCACACCCTTGATTGAGGCTGTGGAGAACCTGACAGCGTTTGCCTCAAACCCCGAGTTTGCCAGCATTCCTGCACAGATCAGCTCTGAGGTAGGGAGTCTGCGGCAATTGAAACTCAAGAGTCATTGGCTAATTCTGTATGAAATAGAATGAGCATGGATAGTTAAAACTCAAAAGACCTTTTGTCAGTGCCCTATGGACTATGCTACTGTAGTATGCACAGAATTTTGTAGTGCTAAGTACTGTGTTATGGACACATAACTCTGTTACTATGGAAGGTACTTGGTGCACAGTTACTATGTTCAGTAAATGTCTATCTTTTAAGAAAGAATAGCTTGATATTGAGAATAATCTTTGTGCCCGGCATTGGGGCTGATTCTTTTGTAAAGTCTGTCATACTCAAAAATTCTATTTAAGAGAAAGTGTATTTATTATTTAAGGACCTAACCTAGGTCCCTGTTTCCCCTGGACCCCTCTTGCTAGCTAGCTTCCCTCCCACAGGTCAGGTAGAAGTAACAGCTTGAAGAATAAGACTTTCTAGAGCCCAGCTTACCCATCTCTGTATACTCGCCCTTCACTTGTCTGTTGGTTCATCTTAGGGCTCCCAGGCACAGGAACCGATCTTGGTCTCAGCCAGGACCATGCTGGAGAGTTCGTCATACCTCATCCGCACGGCGCGCTCTCTGGCCATCAACCCCAAAGACCCGCCCACCTGGTCCGTGTTGGCTGGACACTCGCACACTGTGTCTGACTCCATTAAGAGCCTCATCACGTCTATCAGGTGAGTTTCTCATCTAAAGAGAGCTCCCAGCCTGCATCTGAATAGAATAGGAGGGGACTATGCCCACTTATTGATCATTATTGTGACGGCTAATCTTGGTCATCAACTTGACACCAAGTGGAGTCACCTAGGAAGAGGGCACTTTAATCCAGGAATTGTCTCTGTCCTGTTGGCTTGTGGGTATGTCTGTGGGGCGTTTTCTCTATTGAAGATTGGTGTGAAAGAGCCCAACCCATGCGGTTGGGCCATGCCTGGGCAGATGGGTCTGGACTATATAGAAGGGTAGCTGAGGAAGCCAGGAAGCAGCATTAGTCCACGGTCTCTGCTTCAGCTCCTGCCTCCAAGTTCCTGTATTGAGCTTCTGCTCTGACTTCCCTTAGTGATGGACTGTGACCTGTCAGATAAAAGTCAACTCTCTCCTCCCTGGGTTGTTTTTTTTTTTTTTTTTTTTGAAGTAACAGTAAAACAAACTAAGAACCTGTTTGAGACCCACAAAGTACTTACCACAATAACAGCACATCTAAGCACCTATTTTATACCAGATATTATTCTAAATATTTTTACTTACGTTACCTATTAAAGTAGGGATTGACCTGGTTTCCATTTCCTTCTATGAAGTTTCAGGCAGAAGAACTTAGGTCATGTTCTCATGGTCAACTAACGGCTCCAGTCCCAGCCCTTCTAACCATCACACTGAATTATCAGCTCTTAGCCTGGAGAGCTCTACTGGTTAGGTTTTTTTTAGACTGATAATAAGATGAAAGGAACTTCCTGCAGCTCACACTAACTCCAGGAATCCTAACCTTCTTGGTAATACCCAGAGGCTGAGAAAATGACACTTCTCGAGTTGGCCAAAATTAATATCCTACAACATGGTATGTTTGTTTCCTAAGTTATAGCATTTTGCTTCATAATTGCTTCTGAAGTTCAAAGCCATAATTAAACTTTTCCTTAATTTATTACAAAGAAAAACCCTCTGAATACTTCAGCTCTTCCTATAGCCCGTGAGCTTATGACTAGCATACACTAGCATCAAGTTGGCACTCTACATGGTGCTGCGCTTTTGTTTTCTCAATGGAAATGCTTGCTGCAGAAGCACGAGGGCCTGAGTTTCAGTACCTAGCTCCACATAAAAAACCAGGGATGGGTGTGTGCTTGTGGCCCTAGAACTGCGGGAGACAAATCCAGGAGGATTGGTGGGACGTGCTGGTTGCCACACTAGCCCCAAGTTCAGAGACAGAGACCCTGTCTTAAGGGAGCAACACAGACACTGGTGAAGTAGGACTGGACTTCCTCTTATGGTCTCCATGTGCTGATGGTTACATGCATCTGTACTCAGATAGACCGTGTGCACGCATGCATGCATGTGTGTGCATGCACACACACACACACACACTTGCTTTTTAACTTTAAAGTGGAGGCAGGCACCCAAGTGCAAATTGTTTCCTTTGCAATTACCTATTATTAGCCTGAAAGGAAAGGCAGAGATTCCATTCTTCCTGCTAGAAACAGAGCTATGTCAAGTACAAGTGTGAATTAAGAACTGCGTGGCCCTGGGCCCATCTTACTAAGCAAGCCTCACAGATGCACTGCTCAGTGAAGGTGACTGTGTAGAAAGGGGACAGAGGCTCCTGGCCCACCTTACAGGAGCATGGTGTGACTTAAGCCTCGTGAGCTTTCGATTGATTTGTTCTGTCCCTTTTAGGGACAAAGCCCCAGGGCAGAGGGAATGTGACTACTCCATTGATGGCATCAACCGGTGCATCAGGGACATCGAGCAGGCCTCCCTGGCTGCAGTCAGCCAGAGCCTGGCCACGAGGGATGACATCTCTGTGGAGGTAGGCTGGGGCTCTGGGAAACTCCAGAGGGAGTGGGACCAAATGTCCAATGCTACAGGGCGAGGATGTCCCCTGTGGGACAGATAGGGAGGTCGGAGGGTTGGTGGGGAGTGTGCAGGACAAGCGTTGAGACAGATGGTGTGCAGAAAGACCTCACCTGCCACAGAAGAGCGTTCACGGGCAGCCAAAGTCTTCAGGAAAACCATCGGTGTTGGGTAGTTCTGTCCTAAGATGGGCTGCTGTGTTCAGTGTGCACATCGATCGGTCCAGCAGGCCTGGCCGTGCAGAGCCTGAGTGCGTCTCTCTGGCCACGCTTTCCATTTGTACTTTCTGAGCAGGTTTAGCCATTAAACTCTAGTGCATTTGATCATCTAGAGGGAAAGAGTTGTGCCACTTTATCTTTTCTCTGTTTGTGTGTGTTATACACACATGTTCCCCTGTGTGGAGTGTACACCCTCCATGTGTTTCTCTATCATTCATATATATATATATACACACACACACACACACACACACACACACACATTGGAGTCAGGGTCACTCCCTGAACCTGGAGCTTACCCTTAGCTAGGCTGCCTGACCAGTGCGTTCTCAGGAGCCACCCGTCTCCATCCTGTACCCCACTCCCTGCACTAGGATTGTAGATGCTCAAGTCCTCATGCTTGAGTAGCATACAGTTTCCCCTTAAGCATCTCCCAGCCTCGCATTATCTGTTCTTGCTCTTGAGCTGCTTGCTACCCATCTAAATTTGCAGTCCATACTTCTCTAAGAGGACGGTGCCCAACAGTCGGGTCTGTTTACCTTACTGCATAGGGTTTAGGCATAGGATTTAGTAAGTTCTGTCCTCATTCTTCAAACCTCATCATTCAAATGTTGTAAGCATTGCTCATTTTTATTAATAGAGCTGTCTGTTCTACTTTAGCTTCACACACACATACACAGACACACATGCATACATGCGCACATGTATACACACACACACACACACACACACACACAAAATTCCAGGAAATGAGAAGCAGGACTAAGCACTGTAACCATGTAGAAAGCTAGCTTTACTATTTTAAGCCTGTTCTCAAAGTTGAACATACATACAGTAAACACACATGAAGTGTGTCTGTTGACAACCTGTCAGCAGACCACACCTTTACATAGCTCCCAGCCGAGATGAAGCCAGGTTTGGTAGCTTCACACACTTTTAATCCTAACTCCAGCAGGCAGGGAAAGTTTGATCTCTGAGTTTGAGGATCGCTAGGGCTACTTAGTGAGACACTGTCCACCACCCCAGAAGTATCCTCCTCTCGCCATCCCTTCTAACCTGCATCCTCTGCCTTAGCTCCCCCAATAGGAAGAAGATGTACACACTTTATACCCAAGATCCTTCATTATACAATATTAAATTGAATAAACCATCTATCAAAAATACCGAAGGGATTCCCTGTCATTCTTACCCACAGTCACACTAAGTGTGAGAGGGTAATAAATGACTAGCCAAGGAAGGCCTCTGGGCTTGAGGGAAGCCTCTCTCTGCCTGCCCTAGCGCTCTAGCTCTTTTGGTGTTTTGTTTTCAAGCTCGCCTGTTAAGCTGTTTCTTTCCCAGAGTGAATGTGCATAGTGGTCCCGTGGCAGAGTAACAAATGCAGAAAGGATATTGTCACTCTTCAGATGACACGTCAGGGCATACATCTCTGTGATGCCCATGCTTTAATCTTTTAACCCTGACCCTATCCAGTACAGTTCTCAAGATGCTTTTGAGAAAGGGAGGGGATTTTTCCTGCTTCCAGTTCATCTCCAGCCTCAAAGTTTCCCCTCCCCCCCTCCCCCTTCCCAGCACAGTCTGGCTTTCTTTCCTTGTCTCTTAACAGCCTAAACTCATCTATTTGAAGCAGAGATTTAAAATCCTGTCAGACCCGATAAGAAATACCTCAAGAGTGTCATTTCCAGTATTTACCTGCAAGTCACCAAGGACAGTGAGCAGAGTCTAGCTAAGCTCTGCATGCAGACCGTCTGGTTCCTTCATGGTGTGCCATCAGTGAAGCCTTCGGAGATCTGATCTCATTTTCACATCACCCTTTCCCCCCTCCTCTTTAAGTTCTGAGAACACCAAGACCAGTATGTTCCCTCCGTCCCTGATTAGCCGTCTCCATTTGGACCACGTTGTTTCTTCTTCTTGGAAAGTAGAGCTAGTCCTCATTCCCCATAATCAGTATGTAACCAACCATGAAGATAGCTCCAGCAGCAGTTGTCAGGGCTGCTGCGAATGAAGCCAGTGAGAACCGCACTCTCAGGCCTGCTTCATCTGAGGAAGGATAAGGGGTCTCACCCTGGGGAGCAAGGCCAGTCAGGGAATGGACGAGCAGGGGAGCGTCCAGGCATTCTGATATCATGCAAGTCCCATCATCCTTCATAAAGGGCTTTTCAGAATGACATAGCATTGTAAGGAACTGTTGTCAAATGATCTTGACTACTCTCCCTCTCTCAGGCCCTACAGGAACAGCTGACCTCAGTGGTCCAGGAGATTGGGCATCTGATTGACCCCATTGCCACAGCAGCCCGGGGAGAAGCTGCCCAACTTGGACATAAGGTAACGTGGAAGCAGGATACCCTGCTGAGAGATGGTACTCGTGTTTAGGGAGGTGGGGGGGTTATCATTATTCCCAAAAGCCTGTGCCTCGGTGTTCTCCTGTGCTTTGATTCAGTATCCCTCACAATGCCGTGAGAACAGCACTGTCACGAAGCCCACTTTACAGATGAGCACACTAAAACACAGTTTGTGAAGAAGTCTGTGTAAAGGACCCAAGACTAGGACTGTCGTTCTTCATGGCCCGCTCACCTCTCTAAGAATACTGGGCACTAGTTTAGTTAGAACATTTCTCTTTCCCCCACCACTTAACAACTCTTGATTCGTTACATCTCCGTTTGGAAAGTTAATTACTGATCAAATAAACCTAGAGAACAGATAGGATTCTAGTGCACTAGTCCTTGTATTAGTTACTTTTCTGATGCATGATAAAAACCTGACTAAAAGCAACTTGGGAGAGTAAGGTTTATTTTGGCTGACAGTTCCAAAAGGATAGAGTATATCATGGCAGCGAAGGCCCGATGATAATAGGAGCAAGAGGCCAGCCTTGTAGTTGAGGAGCAGAGACAACAAGAGTGGGGCCAGTCCACGAGACCCCTAAGCCAGCCCCAGTGACGCCCTTCCTCCAGCAAGACCCTATCTTCTAAAAGCTTTATAACCTTACCAGAGAGGGCCACTGACTGAGGATCAAGTGTTCAAACACAGGAGCCTCGGAAAGCCATTTCTCACTCAGACCACCACCATGGTACCCTATTGCCACTGGTGCTGAAGCCAGCATCATTCTTGGGGAAGGAATAAGTCCTGAGCCTGTGAACAGAGCTGCCTTTGCTTGCTCAGGCTGGGACCCTCCACATCTGGACAAAGAAGGCAGGCTTGCTGGCTACCCGCCTGGCCTTCAAGGGGCTCCTTTAAGATCCACAGAGAGGGCTCTGAGGAAGTATCAGGTAAAGCTCTTGCCTTGCAAGCATGAGAACCCAAGTTCAGATCCCTAGTACCCATATAAACTAGAGGCAGTGGTACACATCTATAACCCCAGCACAAAGCAGGTGGAAACAGGACTGTCTCTAGGGCTCACAGGCTACCATAGATGTTCCCTCTGTCCCTGGTTAGCGTTTGGACCACATTGTCTCTCCTCCTTGGAAAGTAGAACTAGTCCTCATCTCAGTAACCAACCTATAACTGACCATGAAGACATCTAGTCAAATCTGCAACCTCCAAGTTCAGTGAGAAACCAAAAATTCAGATCAAAGAACTGGAAAGATGGCTCAGGTAGAGTGTTTATTGTACAAGCATGAAGACCTGAGATTGAATCTCCAGCACCCATGGAAAAAGCTGACCATTGCTGCGTGTGCCTGTAACCCTAGCACGGGATGGGGAGAGAAAATTTTGGAAGTTTGCCTCACCAAACTGCTGATCTGCAGATTCAATGAGAGACCCTGTCTCAAGGGAATAAGGCAGAGACTGATCCAGGAAGACGCTAGACATCTTCTGGCTATCACGTCTGGACATGGCCGTACAGACCCAACCATACATGTGCACACATATCCCACACACAGAATAAGGTGGAGAACAATTAAGGAAAACACCAGGTATCAGTCTCTGGCCTCCACGTGCACCCGCACGTATCTACAAACACGGACAAATGCACATAAGGGCACAGTAGGTCAGCAGCAGCGCTACTCAGATGTCTTTGTAAGCTAACCTAATGAGAATAGTAGAACTGTAGTATTCTTATTGCTGGCCCGTAGTCCTGTCTCACTGTTAGCTCTAGTGACTTTTACTGTTCTTTTTTTCCGGACACTGCTACTCACGACTGGGCTAGTCTTCATAACCTCCCGACCCTTGCTTTGTTTGTGACCCAGTGCCTGCTCGTAGGAAGTGGCCTCTCCTCCTTTATCCCCACAACACTAGCCTTTCCTGTGATGGAAAAGACCCTTAAGGGAGCCACAGGCTAAAGATTTGCATAAAACACCCTCAGTGGGAAGCTTAGCAGTTAGTTATGGTGCACAAAAAGGAGGAGTTGGAGTAGCCATCGGTGCTGGTAGGTTTTATCAGCATGGAAATAGATGGAGCCAACTGTGAAAATATGGTTCTCTAGCTGTTAAATAATGGGTGTCTCTCTACCAACCCCCCATCACACACCCCCTCCGCCAACTTCAAATATGTTACAAAGGCAAGAAACAGACACTGAGTCTCAAGTGTGACTGCAGCCGAACTAGAATAAACACTAAAGCAAAAGGATGCCATTGAGGAGAGGACGCCAAGAGCCAGACTGTGAAGTGAGCCCCACCCTCACCTCACAGCAGCATGGCGTCAGCATACAGCCCAAGATTGTGCCTCAGTTTCTCTTCATCTGGATCTGCTTCTTAAAATTGGAACTGAGATTTACTGAGGAATTGGATGAAAAACACAGGGGATGGGCCTGATGAATATTTGTGATGTTTGATCCTGGGGCATCCAAATGTGTGTGTGTGTGTGTGTGTGTGTGTGTGTGTGTGTGTGTGTGTGTGTACCATGTGTGGCATGTATGTGGCATAGTCTGCTGTCTGCTGGGAGGAAGTCTATCCTGGGGCAGTAGGTAGCTGTCTTAATCAGTTTGGTTTTGTTCTTTTTTTTGGTTGGTAGTGGAGTTTAGTTTGGTTTGGTTTGGTTTGGTAACTGGAGGTCATAGCCAGGACCCCTCGCACACTAGAAAAGTAATTTACCACTGAGCTACATTCTGAGCCCCTTGACCAGCTTTTTATTATCCCAGGTTGAGCCAAACAAAGGAGTTCAACAGTGGTGAAATCATTTTGCTTTTTTTCCTGTTCTCAAGGCTTGGCCCAGTGCTTGGCGAGGACACCAGTCGGGCTGTCTACTGAAAAGCTTTGCAGATTCTCTTTGTCTGCCCCCACCTCATTACCCTCCTCTCTTCTCTCCTCCTTCCCTTTTGAATCTGTGGGATGTCTCTTATTCTTAACAGTTTTAACTTATAAAACTGACAATTTATAAAACTGGGTATAAGTCTAGTGTCTACCTCAGAATGGGTTTCTTACCATATAAGGACAGGAGATGGAGAATCCCCCCAGGAAGAAACACCAAGCAATAGATTGTTAACTCGAAAGTATTTAAAAAGTTGTAGCCAAACACGCCTTTTCCTATGAGTCATCTCATCCTTGATCCAAATCCCCTTCTCAACAAGCCCTCCCCCCAAAAAAAGAAGACCCAAACTTACATGATACATCTGGGATTTTTCTTTCTTGAAAGGTGACACAGCTGGCAAGCTACTTCGAGCCCTTGATCTTAGCTGCAGTTGGTGTTGCCTCTAAGATGCTGGACCATCAACAACAGATGACAGTGCTGGACCAGACCAAGACTCTTGCAGAATCTGCCCTCCAGATGCTGTATGCAGCCAAAGAAGGTGGAGGAAATCCCAAGGTATGCTTTAAGGCATCGGGGCTGGCTTGGGAGTCCAGATCCCTCCTGTATTGTCTCCTTCCTCAAAAAACACCTCCAAGTTGATTTCCCGGTCTAAAAGAGACATAACCTGATGGCTTTCCAAACTGAAGGGTTATTCACAAGTTCTCCTTCCTTGGTAGTGTATGTATGCAAGCACTCACGGGGCAGAAGAGTATGTGGTTTGGTTATTGTAGGACTAAGCTGGTGTACTTACAGGGTGCCTGCTAGGTGTTGACATTTGCTTTCAGTGAATGTGATTGCTCTTCTCCTTCAGGGATGGTGATGCAGTTTGCTTATCTTTTCAATGTTGGAGGGCCTCACACAAGCTGGGCAAACATTCTTACCACTGAGCTACCTCCCCAACCCAAAAAATGCTAATTTAATATAACAGCCTTCACATACACACACACACACACACACACATCAGTTTGCCCCCATCAGTTTGTAAGGACATTTCCTACAGTGAGTTGGCTTTAAAGAGCCAGACATGGCACCAGTCTGTCATGGATGACTGACCTTGTATCGCATTTTGCTTAGAACTTAAGAGGTAACAGGACCTGAAGAGATGGCTTAAAGGGTAAGAGTGCTTACTGTTTGGGCCGAGGGCTTGGCTTCCGTTCTGAGTATGTATCAAGTATCTCACAGTATCTATAATTCAGTGCCCTCTTCTGGCCTCCATATCTATGGTGCATACAGTCAGGCACACACATATCCAAATAAATAAGCAACTTAGCAGCAGCATGGACATAATATAGAATTACAAAGAGTGTGGAGCCTTCTAAAATGTGTAAACAGTCTGGGGCATCTGGAATATGCAGATGAGCACAGCTGGACAAGAAGTTGGACAATGATAACTGATACATCTCATCTTTGCTAAGGAATATGACCTTTATATAAGGCCTGGGAGCTGTGGTCACCTTAGACAGGCGCCACCTGCTCTAGTTCCTTTCTGTTACTCTGACCCAAAGCAACTTAGAAGAATAAATGGCTTATTGGCTTACACAGCCAAGTCAGTCCATCATGGAGGGAAATCAAGAAGAAACTCAAGGCAGGAACCTGGAAGGAGCAGGAACTGTGGAGGAATGCTGTTTGCCTGCTCAGTCATTCCTGGTCTAATGCTCAGCCAGCTTTCTTATATACCCAGACCCACCTGTCTCCAGATGGGGTGAACCAAAATGGACTGGACCCTCAATTAAGACAACCCCTCACAGAGCAATCTGATAAAGACAATCAGTCCCTCAGCTGAGATGTTGAAGTTTGTCTAGACTGTGTCAAGTTGACAACTAATACTGAGACAGAGCCATATTTTATTACTTATGTATGTGTATGTGTGCCTGTGTATACCTAACGGAGGTATTCGTAAATGTTTGAACTGGGCATTAGATTCCAGGGAGCTTGAGTTACATGCAGTTGTGAGCCCCCCTGACATAGGTCCTGGGAACCAAATGCCAGCCCTCTGCAGAAGCAGCAAGCCCTCTTAACCACTGAGCCCTTTCTCCAGCCCCCTTTTAATCCATATTTTTTTGAACATCCAACTGTAAACAGTGACTTTGACTTACTAGCAGGACCCAGGGCAGAGAAACCTGGCCTTTTCTACATCCCGTCTTTCACATATCTAGCAGTTATTAAGAGTATAATTTGAATACTAAAATGATAAGAGCCAGCCACAACCCTCCAAACGTTCAAAGTCTTTTGGAAATAGTAACTAGTTACCAAAATGGTGGTACAGGACCAAAAGCATAGTGGACACAACTCTGACTGTGATGGTCAGCAGTGGGAGTCCAGAGATTGGGCCAACCCTTCTGCAGCACCCCTCAGACTAGAGCAGGCTTGTCCCTGGAGCTTTCTTCCTGCCATGCGTTGCCAACTCCCACATGACGCTTTCCGTGTCAGTAGAATATCAAGTAGGAGTTCTCTGGGCTTTGAAGATGCTGATATGTCTGCTTAGACTATGAGTTCAAAGCTCCCTTTGGACCCTCATGGCCGGCACATTTATAGTCAGTACCGATGCGCCATAGTGACATTCCCATATGGAAGTAGTGGCTAGAACCGTTTTCCATCAGTAAGACTAGTTCTTACATCAGATGGTGTGATGTGACCGGTGGTGACCGATGACAAGACCTCTGCCCCATCCCAGTGTTCAACCTGTGTTTTGTCTGGAGACTATGACAGGCTTGCTCCAAATGACATTTTGGTCATTAAGTTTGCTGCTGATACTGTCCCTCCACCCCTTTCCTTTCCTCCCCTCCCCTCCCCTTTTAGAAACAGGGAATGTAGCCAGCCCATACTGCCCTGAAACTAGCTGTGTAGCCCAGGGAGGGCCTCAACTTTATGATCCTCCTTCTGCAACCTCCTGAGGGCTGAGATAACAGGCTTTACTGTATAGTTTGCTTCTTTAGACCCTTGGCTGAGGCCACATCATCAATCAACTCGGATGTTATCATTTGGGGGATGTTTGGAAAGCTCTGTGTGCTGTTGATTTGGTGTTGCAATCTCATTTGTAGATGAAACAAAGTCACAGCATTGGTAACTGGGGTGGCCTGATGGCTGAGCTGGTGGCTAATCACCACCAGGCCTATTGATCTGAGTTCAATTCCAAGGACCCACATGGACAAAAGAGAAATCCCTCAGTTACCTTCTGACCTCCACACATGTGCTGTGACACGCAGGGTCCCACATATGTGCACACATGTGCAACACGCATACGCGTACTAAATGAATGTTAAGTTTCATTTTAAATAAATAGGTAATAAAATGCAATGGAATGTTCTTAAGTAGTCAACAGTAGTTCTGATTTGATTAAACAAACTCTCAGGGTCTGGGTCAAAAGTAGTCAAATCCCCAGGCCGCCTCTTGCTAGCAAAGTGATCCATTTTTTTGTCTCCTCTACTAAGCAGTGAGGGTAAATCTAAATGAGAAGAGTGTGTGAAAACAGGAATGTGGGATGTACCTCAGTTGGTAGAGCACTAGCCTAGCATCCACCAAGCCCTGGATTCTATTCCAGCCCTGTATGAGCTGGGAGTGGTGACATACACCTATAATCCCAGCTCTTGGGAGAAGGAGCCTCAGAAGTCCAAGGTCTGCAGCTACATGGGGAATTTGAGGCTAGTGTGGGCTGATACCCTTCTATCTATCAGGTAGGTAATAAATCCAGACAGAGGTGCATGCTTGTGTGGCTCCTCTCACAGCCCGTTGAGCTCCTGAGGCATCATCCCTCCCCCCTTCATTTCTATAGAATTCCTTTCAAGTTTGCTTTATGCAACACTCCAGCCAAGCCACATCCTCATCCCCTCCAGAGAGCTCTAATTGTCAGTTGCCTGCCCCAGCCCCTAAAGTCTGAGACCCACTCCTGTCTTCTCCCTTCCGAACCACTCTGATGTCTTTGCCTGCTGTCTGGGGCTTTGTGGTGGAAGTCCCATCTGGGAGGAAAAGGTTCCTTGGAAGCTGTCTTCAGACATGTGTCCAAAAAAGACCAGATGTGGTTTTTCCGTGTGTGGGGAGCAGGAATAAGGGAGTCGCTCCAGACCCTAAAATAATGACCTCATTATTATCCTGCTCACTCTGCTTCCCAGAGGGCTGCTGGTTGTCAAAGTGTGTTTTCACTGAGATCCCACTGTCTCTTTGGATGTCTAAAGCTGTTGTCCTGAGCCAGCCCACAGTGTATGGACTAGGGCCAGGCTGCCCAATGAAGATGAAGCCTGCCCCTGAGCTTCAGAGAGAAGTGAAGGCATGTCGAGGAAGGCATGCCTAGGGATGTTAGAGAAGAGGTGGCCTTGGAGCTGACACTCTAGAAGTCTGTAAAGCTCAGATAGGAAGAACACTGGCTGAGGAGATGGCTCAGTCAATAAAGTGCTTGCCACCCAAGAATAAAGACCTCAGGTCAGATGCCCAACACCGACATACCAAACCATGCACCACAATACACACAGGTGAATGCAGCACTGGAGACCTTAGGCTCACTGGCCTGCCAGGCTAGCCAGTTAGTAAGCTCCAGCCAGGTTCCGTGAGAAACCCTTCCTCAGCAAATGAGGTACAAAGTGTTTGAGGGGAGGACCTAGGGTAAGCCTCTCTCTCCACACACATGTACACATGCACCTACACATGCATTCATACACATGTGAACATGGAGAGCTTATCTCCAGTCAGACAGTCAGGTAGTTTATTTCTAGGCTATCCAAGAGCAAAGATGTTTGCTGAGGGGTTCATTCGGTAATTTACTGATGCCTTCCATGAATTATGTTCTTGTTTCCAGAGTTGTTAAGATCAGACCTTGTATCTGTGCCTTTCTCTGGCATCCTTGGTGCCTGCCCCCAGGTTGCTGTATGCCAATAATCTCTGTCCACTCACTCTCAGTGGGCCAATTAAAGACGAGCAATGTGAACAGCAGAGGATAATTCATTCATTGCAGCCACATTGGGAAGAAGAACAAATAAAGGGGTCCCGTAATCCCCAAGTCCATTTTTAAAGTTTAGGTTTACATAGAGGGCAAGAAGTATGTATAGCAAGCCATCCAGGTCATAGTGTGGTCCCAATTATCATTGTCTGGGCTCGGTATCTCCTGCAAGGTGGTCTGACTCGTTAGTTGTCAAAACTGTGTAAGATCTCTTTCTAGGAGACAGCCTCCCTCTATGACTGGCAGCAAGACTCAGCCTTTTCCTTCTCCCAGCATGAAGTCCCTGGGGAGATTCGTTTCTTGAGGATTCATTCATTTCAATGATCTGTCAGCCAGGAGCACAAACATCTCTCTTCAAGACTTGCCCCACTCCTGTTAAGAGTTTGCACTCCTAAGACCCTTGAAGGGGAAAGCAAGTGTCTGGCTGGCAGCGGTTCACCTCTCTCCTAAAACATGTGTTTAACTTTGGAGTGGTCCTGTAGAGTTGTGTCACTAGTGTTCTCACCATAGCCACGACACACTGAAAAAGCACTCCTTCTGTTTGAGCTTGTGTAATGGGAGTCTGCAGTTTTAGAGGCTTTCTCTAGAGAAATCTGCACAGGAATGCCACCTTTAAGACTTGTAGCAGAATACAGCAGTTTGCACATTCTGCCTTACTCTGTATTGTGAAGTTGGCTATGAGCTTACATCATGAGCTTTCCCACTTCTGTCCTAAAGGCAGAATTCTGTGTGTCTACACAGCATTAATCTCAAAGATGAGAGGAGAAAGACCACCAACCCAAATTATCATGGCCAAAATAATTAATGCAATCAGTTAATTAAAGCAAGTTTTTTGTTCATGTACATGGGCTGCTTCTCCCTAAGGTGAGGTTCAAGAGGTCAGCACTGGACATGAGGAAGACAAGGCAGGCAAAATAAGAGGAGTTACAGGAGCAGAACGTCATAGCTAAGTAGTCCTTACTGAAGCAAAGACATGTTGCAAGGTGGTCATAATAAGGTAGCCATAGCAGCAGGTATTCATAACCAGGTAGTCATTGGTGGTCAGATAACTTTTTGAAACAAAGGTAGGGTTGCAAGATGGTTATAAACAACTTCTTGAAACAAAGACAGGATTGCCATGCCTGGAACAGGCAGTACACAACCATTTGTTGTTAAGGTTACAGGTGGGGCAGAGACCAATTCCTTGAGAAACAGATTTAATCACAAACAAAAATGAACCTAGTTTGTCTTTACTGTAAGATGTTTTTGAGCCTAAGATGGCGTCAGGTTGGTTCCTCAACAGGTATCAAGAGGATAGCTGCAAGCAGCATGTTTGGCATCTTGTCAGCTTCCATATTTGAGGAACTTGCTTCTCACAGCCTTTTAGTTCAGATAGAGCCCATCCTCTAATTCCCACTGGCTTCCCTTCCTTCATATCCATCAAGGTATTTATTACTGTATAAAAATACAGTATTGTGGACCTTTGGGGAGGCTTATGCCACTGAGTTGGGCCAGGATAGCCACAGCTGTTGTATGGATGCAGTGCTTGAGGACAGTGACATTCTGACATTTAAGTCACTCTCATTCTATTACATGGCACAGAGTAAGGGTAGAGTTCCCGCTAGCCTGCCCTTCTTATACATAAGGTACCTGCAGCTTCCTGCTTTATCAGGCGTTTAGAACATAGACTTCTTACAGTCCTCCCCGTCTCACTGAAAAGGAGCTAGCTGGGTTCTGCCGGGTGGCTCATCAGTGGTAGAGCAAAAACTAGAACCTAGGTTTCTAGGTTTTCTGCACCCATAGGGTAAGTCTTTCCCTTATATCTTCCTGCCCTGTGAGATATCTGCACCGGCATTGTTTCATCTCCGTTGGCTCTTTCATTTCGAGCTCCTAATCCCACCCTTAACGTTGGCAAGTGTCCAGGATGCTGTCCGAGGAACATGTGGGTACTTGGGTATTACCTGCAGGGCTTCTGCCCTTGGCAACTGTCCTCATCTACTCTGCCAATGTTCCAGCAATATAACTTACAGCCTAGTTCTACAGCCTGTTAGGCTCTGCCAATTTGTCTCTCTTTCATGCACCGACATTTCCATAATCCAACTTATTTATAGAAAGGGAATTCTGGTGTGCTGGGCATTGTTGAAGAGAAGTACATTTGTTATGAAAAACATTTTTTTCTTTGTATTACCGAATATTTTAAATAAATGTGTCAATCTGTGTGTTTATGAACCTGTGGCATTCCCCACCATCCTGAACAGAGCAGCATATAAAGCTAGTCTTGACAGTTTGGTGTTACATGTTTCTTTTCTCTTATTATTATAAAAAAAAGGGGGGGTTGCTTTTGATTCTGCAAGTCAATGTATGGAATCAGAGAAAGAAAACATTTCGAATGCATTGTGTGGCTGTTTTGCAGGGTGTGGTTTTCCTTGGGATTGATTGTTTGTTCTCAAGTCTCACCATACTACTTAAACTAACCTTAAACACGAGGGCCTCCTGAATGCTGGGACCCTAGACATGCAACACCAGGCCCAGCCTTGTCTTCTGATTTTTTTTTTAAGGTTATTCTTAGCACATCAAGTGATTCTTAAGGGTGAGCAGTGACTTGTGCTATTTCAGACATTGTTCATTTCCTTCTCAGGCACAGCACACCCACGACGCCATCACAGAGGCTGCGCAGCTGATGAAGGAAGCTGTAGATGACATTATGGTGACACTGAATGAAGCTGCCAGTGAGGTGGGGCTGGTGGGAGGCATGGTGGACGCCATCGCAGAGGCCATGAGCAAGGTAGGCTTGCGTTAGCCCCTAAACCGTTCCAATCCCGTCTCCATCTCTCTCACACACCATTCCTTCATGGTCTTCTCTGAGAAACTCTTAGTCAAGGCCGAGACCAGCAAGCCAGCAGATGGCCAGTCATATATCCAACATACCGTTTTTTAATTTGCTATCAATTCATCAGATTTATAAGGTACCGCACTGTTCTTTCCAGTTGTGGTTAAAAATAGACATTGTGAAAAGTATCACTGGCTTCCTTGTTTGTAAACGGAAATATTTACTTACACCTCATGGCCTCTTTATAGGCTATGATAGGGAGGTGGCTCCAGGAAGAGTCGGGAAATGATTTCCAAGCATTGGCCCTTGGAATGGCTACTTTGGAGTTGAGGAACTTTCTAAATGCAGGGTCCTGGACTCTTGTCTTGCTCTGTCACAGTCTCAATTGAGTGGACCCTAGGAATCTCTAATGGGACCTTCAGAACTCTTACATGTTGATAGTCACTTAAATGCATAAACCGTTAAATAATGTGTATGAAAGGTCTTGGTGAGCTCTCATAGGGCGTTTTCTGGCTCAGCAACCAGTTGACAGTGCTTCAGACTGAAGAGAGTCTCAACTCCATGGTTTCTCTTTTCCTCTATGGATTTTTGTCTTTAATGATGTCTTTTTTATATTGTCGGGTTAAACGGCTGTTCATCAGCAGCTAATTGTCAGCTTAGTGTTAGTATCACAGACAGTAGTGTTACAGTGTCTGTGTTGGGGAATGCCTACGGTTGGATTATGTATGCATCAGTGTAGTATTTTAGAATAATACACGGTCTTAAATTGCTGGTTTAGGCATTAGCTGTCACTTTCTCCATAAAGGAACGACCCCCTGGAAGTCACTGGAGTAATGGCTCCACAACCCTCTCCCATCACCCCCACACTAATGAAGTAGCAAGCTGGGTTAGACTGTGTCTCCCTTCGGAGACCCAAGGCTCTACGTCTCAAAGTCTCTAACAGTGCCCACTATGTGCTGCTCATGCTTCTAATACGGACAGTTTAGCAGACAATGAGTAAATTTCTCCTCCTCCTCGAGACCATTGGGTAAGGCTCAGGAGGGTTTCAAAACAGCAGAACACCAGAACTTTGGAAACAAACATGTCCACAGGAGATGTTGAATAGTCAAGTCCATGGTTTCTTAGTAGCAATTAAAAGCCAAATGATCCTCTTTTTTTTTTCTTTTTCTCAGTATTAATGTAAAGATAGGGAATGTCCTGTAAGTCCTCAGAGAGTGGAAGCCAGGCCCTGAGTCTGTCTTTGCTAGCTCACCAGCCTCGCTCACTGTGTTGCCTTATGCTGTGACAGCGGCATCCACACAGCTGCTCTCTGGTCCAGCTGCCTCTTGAGAAGTAAGCCTGGTTTCTCCTGATGGTGACAGGAACCGCTGGCAGCCGAGGATACACACGAGGGTTCCCTCTCCTTCCTGTAACATACAGCCTGGGATTTCACTGTTCTCCCCACACTCCTACTGTGATCATTGTTAAGTTGCTTAACAGGAAGCAACTTAAAGGAGGGAGGGTTTATTTTAGCTTACAGTTTGAGGGATCCAGTCCAGCATGGTGGGAAAGGCGCGGTGGCTGGAGCTGGTCACATTGCATCTGTAGTTGGGGAGGAGAAAAGAGGTGTGAATGCTGGCCCCCAGCTCACTCTCCTTTTTATTTATTCTAGAACCACCCAGCCCATGGGATGGCCCACATTCAGTTCTTCCTGGGTTCCTCCCACTTCAGTTAGCTGACTGTAGAATCTCTCACACAGACATGCTTGCGGTCTTTCTCCGAGATGATTCTACTGTCCAGTTGACGATCAGTATTAACCACCACATTAACCTTCCCTGATGTAACATCCAGGGGACCACACTTCACCTGGACCTTCCAAGGGACTGTCCAATCCCCTCTCTCACAGTGATCTTGCCCTTTTCTTAGTTGCTGTTGCACTTGGAGGCAGGCAGTCAAAAGCGAGTCCTTAAGTCCTCCAGGTCTTTCCATTGACTTAGCTCATCAATCACTAGGCTGCCCTGGGCACAGGTAGTGGTGGACTGTAGTGTTGTCATGGAAGTCCTCGGTGATGGAGATTCTGCCTCCTCCCACCTCATCTTCCACCACTCTCTCATCATCATGTACATGAACACGGTCCCCTCTTCCTGAGATTCCTCCCCTTCTGTGTTTGTGGGCAGCCTCCTCCCCTTCTGTGTTTGTGGGCAGCCTCCTCTTTATCTGCTGAGACTTGGCTAAATTGTTATTCCTCTGAAATACTTTCCACTCCTGTTAGATAAAACTGGGACTCTATCTTGCCTGTGTCCCCGGATGCCTTATGTGTACCCCCATTGCATTCTGATTGGAGAACTCAGAGTTGAGTTTGAACCAAAGAAACCTCTGAGGGGCTCTCTATTCTTCCTAAGTTTTTACTTCTTACAAGTACAGCCTATACTTGGTCGGGCTTCCTATGACTCCTGAGTTCTTCTCTTATCCACAGCTGGATGAAGGCACACCTCCAGAACCAAAGGGAACATTTGTTGACTACCAGACGACTGTGGTTAAATACTCCAAAGCCATTGCTGTCACAGCTCAGGAAATGGTAAGAAGAAAAAAAGCAGCCCCACCCACTGTGGGTTCCCCCTCTGCCCACCGCCATCTGAGTCTCCACGCCCCGCCCACTGTGGGTTCCCCCTCTGCCCACCGCCATCTGAGTCTCCACGCCCCGCCCACTGTGGGTTCCCCCTCTGCC